GTGTGTGTGTATGCATTGTGATCGACGAAGAAACAATGTTTCGTAATATTTATTATTATCGTATCAATTATGAAATAACGTATCATTCCTTCCTTGTATTCATTATAAATGATATATATATATATATATATATATATATATATATATAAAATTCGTTATAAATGATTATATATATATATGTATATATATATAAAGAGAGAAAGAGAGATAGAGAATTCATTATACGTAATACTTCCATTCACGTCTTATCAAGAACGTATGTATGAAAATAATGAGTGAAAATATAGAAATACGCGCGCGTACATGTTTACAAATTACATAAAGCATTCGTATAAGCTACGAAGTAGTATAGTAATAGTATCATCTCGTTGTATTAAAAGTCGAACGTAATTTTCAAGTGAGATAAAGCGAATAATGGCTCTTCTTTGGCCATTAGAACGATCGAGATTAAATATATAGTTAAAGAATGGACCGGTGAAGTATTATACCGTTGCACGTACATAGATACATATATATATTATATATATATTATATATATATATTATATATATAACGTATGTACGTACATATATATATATAATACATATACATACATATATATATAGATACATACTCGTTATAAATGCCACTTAAAAACTTTAGATTTCTCTCAGCTAACCGACGACCTTCGGTGAACGAAGAGTGCTTTGCTCTTTCGATCACGTCCTACGCGAACGCAACAAAGAGCGCCTAGGTATAATCGAGAAAAGTTTTTCGAGAGGAAATCTTTGTGTGTGTGCGCGTGCGCGCGTGTATGTTTGTATACTACTCTCTTCTATTCTTCTCCAACGAGCATCATTTCGATCCCAGTCAGTATCGACGATCTAACGCGGCTCTTTTTTTCCGAATAAAAACAAGAAAACCACAAATGGAGTTAGGAGCAAAATCTTGTTGATGCCTAGTGTATTGGTGGATGAAAGAAAGAAGGGGAGGGGAAGAAAAAAAGAAAACAAAAAACAAAAAAAAAGAGTCGATTCGCGACACTCGCCAAGTCACGAAGAAGCGTGTATGTGCGGTGGGAGGGGAGGGGGAGGAAAGTTAAGCGTCCTTCTAAGTGAACGTAATCTCCCTAGTTAAGAGATTAGTAAACAGAAAATCGCGGAATGGCATCGTAAATATTTGCCTACCATTGCGTCGAGATGATCGCAAACAAGGAAAGCAAGTATAAAAAGTTAGGGTAAGAAGATTAAGTGAGAAAGAAAAAAAAAGAGAGAGAGAGAGAGAGAGAGAAATTAGTGATGCCAAAAGTGTGTTGCTTCTTTTCTTTAATTAAATTTTACAATCGACGATGAGATTCAATCAAAGTTTCGCTCTATTTTCTTATTGAATTCGACATTTGCTTATCATAATTTGTACGTTATACATAAATATGTGCATGTATACATGCATACATAACGTATCATTGCGTATGTCACTCCTTTGGACTCTTAACAAGACGCCTTTTCTCGCCTTCCTCTCGCGTCAAAAGAATTTTATCCGACGCGATCGAAGCAAGAGCGAAAGAGAAAAAGAGAGGGAGAAGGAGAGAGAAAGAGAAAAAAAAAGAAAGAAAAAAAAAGAAAAACAAAAAAGAAAACACGAGTGCATATAAAGTGCATCTCAAACGTATCAATAATATACGATGTTATCGAAAGATGAGCAACGTATATAAATGACGGTTGATTATCTATAATTATAATAAAAAAATTTTGGATAGAGAAAAAAATATGATATTTCTTTTTTTACCTCGTAAGACGAATGTCAACAAAGCCAACGGGACGGTGAATGTATGCGGCTCCATCGGGCACGGCGGGTGTCACAGACTCCGACGCGTGTAAAATCTCTCCTCTTCTCTCTCTCTCTCTCTCTCTCTTCCACCCCGTTGTACTTTCTTTCACGCAATCTCTCCACATTCACACGTTTGCCCCGTCCTGTCGATTACGGTACACATTTCTCGTTAGAACGAGTGGACTCATCGTCCAACGTGTGTCAAAATCACAAATCTCGCGATATTAAACCTCACCATTGTCGCAAGACGAACGACGATCCGCTTCTGGCACGATCACGGCGGAACATGGCTAACGGACGTCTGTACACCTCCGCATTGCCTCGAGTCCACGGACGATCTGACCTAGCCGACGCCATTTTGTGGGACGAACCGCGATCGAAGCACCATGTGCCGGCACGCCACAATACGATCGTACTATTTCACGCGCCGCTATTAAATTTGAATTCTTCTTTGTGTCTATTCGATGAATGTAGTTTTGTTAGAATCTTGACTTGAACTTTCTTAATAATATTCTTATAAATATTGATTATTCGATATTTATTATCTATTCTTTGTTTTGTAGAAATAGCATATTTTTGTTTCTGTAATATCAAAATAAAGTAAATTGAAAAGAAAATTTTCTTACGATCATAATTTTGTTATTTATGAATAAAACAGCTATGTTAGTTCGTTTAACATCAATATGCAAAATATTAATTGGAAAAAAAATTATTTTTATATGTCTTATATAAATAACATTAAAATGCGTAGATGGCTGTTGAGTTGCGTTCAAATTCGTTCAGATGTATGAGACCTTCATGGCTACCGTAAGCATCTTATAGTAATCTTAGGTTATGTTCAGTGCGTCGAGAGAAAAAAGACAAATCAACGTTTATGTTGTCGTATCGTTTGATTTAATTTTTTTAAAGAAATATACGGTGAGTCATGCTGCGAAAATATATTTTACTGATAATGAATTTTTTTCAAAGTTATTATACATATTATATTAACTAAGCATTGTTGTACAATGTTTCGAAATTTCATTTTTCTCTGATTGTAGTGACGTGTATGAAAAATATGTACACATTATATCAATTGGTTTTGATTCATTTTATTTTTAACGAAATAAAGGTTTAAAAAGGATTAATTATTTTATTGAAGGTAATATAACTCACTAAAATGTCAGGAGGAATGTTATACGGAGGAGATGAAATTGGAGCCTTAGTATTTGACTTAGGACATCATTCTTTGCGAGTTGGATATGCTCAGGAGGATACGCCAAAGGCTGAAATACCAGCAGTGGTAGGTATAGGAGAAGATGCAAATAGTACAGCTACCAAAACCGAACCTATGGACATTGATGATAAAAAACCAGATAGCAATATTACACAATCAGGGACCAAATATTACATCGACACAACGATTCTTCATGTCCCACGTAAAAATATGGAAGTTGTAAGCTATATGAAGGATGGTATGATCGAAGATTGGGATCATTTTGAAAAAGTAATAGTCCTATACGTTTGATACACTGTATATTGTTGTATAATTTCATATGCATATGAAATTATTTAACTTTAAGTCAATTATTTACTATATAGGTATTGGATTATACATACTCTAAGGTTATTCAATCCGATGCAGAATATCATCCGGTATTATTTTCTGAATCTCCATGGAATGTGCGTAGTAAAAGAGAAAAATTAACTGAATTAATGTTTGAAAAATATAATGTACCAGCATATTTTCTTGTAAAAAATGCTGTACTAGCTGCATTTGCAAATGGCAGAGCAACTGGTATCGTTGTTGATAGTGGTGCAACTCATACTTCTGCTGTACCTGTTCAAGATGGTTTTGTATTAACGCAAGCTATTGTAAAATCTCCTCTAGGCGGAGATTATATAAGTATGCAATGTAGACAATTTTTGCAGGTATAAAAATCCTTTTATTCCTTTTGAATATTATTAATTATGAAAAAGAAATAATTGTTTTTTGTTAAATAAAAATAGGACAATGACATTGATTTGTCACCCTCTTACATGGTGGGCAGTAAAGAAGTAGTAAAAGATCATGATAAACCACGATGGGTGAAAAAGAAGGGCTTACCTGAAGTTACTAAATCCTGGCATAATTACATGGTAAAGAAACTTATTCAGGATTTTCAAGCTACTGTATTACAAGTTTCAGAAACACCGTACGATGAAAAAATAGTCTCTACAATACCCTCTGTACAATACGAATTTCCCACTGGTTATCATCAGGTAATTTTCTGAAATGAAATGATTCATTATTGAAATAATTATAATGAATTATGTGATATTTTAGGATTTTGGAAGTGAACGATTCCGCATACCAGAAGCATTATTTGATCCTAGTATGGTTCAAATGCGTGGTGGAATGGTTGGAAATACTATGTTAGGTGTAGGTCATATTGTTACAACTAGTGTTGGCATGTGCGATGTAGATGTAAGACCAGCACTTTACGGTAGTGTAGTTGTTACTGGTGGTAATTCATTTATACAGGTAAAATTGTCTTCATTAATAGATCATTGATATATCGCCGGGATAAAAAGTTCTTTGTATGATTTAATTTGAATTATTTTTTATCAAGGGTTTCCCCGAGCGTCTTAATAGAGATCTATCTATGAGAATACCATCCAGTATGAGATTAAAATTAATAAGTGCAAATGGTTGTGCAGAACGAAGATTTGGAGCGTGGATTGGAGGTTCAATATTAGCTTCGATAGGTACGTTTCAACAAATGTGGATATCCAGTCAAGAATATGAAGAAAGTGGTAAAAATCAAGTGGAAAGAAAATGTCCTTGAATTTGTATTACATGTAATTACTCATTTTTTCATAAAGTTGTATTTGTACAGTACGTTTTGCACAATTAATCCTAGCCATTGGTTAAAGATGTAAAAACAATGAAGATAGAGTTACTTCTTTTATTTATAACAAATACACGATGCATGTGCGAGAATTTTATAAATTTTAATGTATACAAAATATATTAAAGTTTTTATAAAGACCTACCTTAAAAGGCTGTGTGGTTTACAATTAAATAGTAGTTTCTATTCCACAGTTCTTTTGCCTTTGTACTTTCTTTAAACATGAAAGAGGCTGTATCTCGATCAAAGTCAATTTTTATAATAGAGTATAATTATTCTTTTGTTCTGTATATACCCTGCATGTAAGTACAAGGCAGGTCTAGAAAACTATTAAGAAAACATGGTATTTTTAAGTGATTGTAGATACCAGGAAATCATTAATCATTCTCAATATTTTTTTCATCTAAAGTCTCTCTCATATTGATTTGTTAATTTACTGACTTATCAGAATATAGAATATAGAGGTTTGAAAAGGCTCTTGAAATAAATATCAAATAATTATCAAAACATTTCTGAGAATATAATTTTTCTTATGGCCCCTATTAAAGGGTGTATATACCAAATATTTTATTCATGATTAATGATCAAGTATTAATAATGATCACACATAAAAGTAGACCTTTCCATTTATCCTGTTTTAGCTATTCTGTAAAACTATCTTTCTAAAATAAAAAAAAAACTATAACAATAACTTTGTGTATAAAGTATTTAATACAAAATTTTATATCAAGTGGCCTGTCAAACAATCTACAAAATAAAATATTATTAATAATTTGCAATGGATATTGAACATTATGTATCTATAAATAAGAAAATTTTACAAATGGTTGGATTTTATCCAAAAAATAAAATGAGGAGTTTTTTCTGTATATTATGCATGTTTCCTATTATTATACCACAAATAATACAAATTTATCAAGATTGGAACGATTTAAATATAGTTCTAGAAATCAGGTCTGTATAAAGAGCAAATTTAAGTTGATACATTTGAAAGAATTAAATTTAAAAATTGAAGATATTAAAAAAAAATGGTTTATATCAATTAATATCATTGTTATATAGTTCAGTATTACTCATGATATTACTTGGTATGTCAAAAACACTAGTATGTACTGTAAATAGTTCTAATGTGGAAATTCTTATTAATTTCTTATTAACGGATTTTTGGCAATCTGCAATAAATAACTTATTTTATAGAAACCTAGAAAAATATGCAATGTAAGTAACTAGATACAAATAATTGATAAAAAGTAATATTGCACAAATGAAAAGTAAAAATTATAATTATATGTACATTCCATTTTTACAGACAAGCTAAAAATATTACAAAAGGATATTTGTTTTTAATATTTAATGTCTTGGTAGTATTTTTCACATTACCATTGATTGATGTATTTATTCTAAAATATAAAGGAATGGTTGGAAATAATTCCAACTATTTTCCTTTTATGGCATCATATCCTGATTCCTTTTATGAATTCCCACTCTATGAGGTAAGTTTGATAAATTAAGATAAAACTATAATATCAAACATTATGGACAATTCTAATAAATTATATGTTTATAAAATTAACAGGTAGTTTACGTCTCTCAGATGATAGCAACTTCTATTTGTGGTCTTCTTTTACTTGCGATAGATACTTTGATAGCCACAGCTGTAATTCACACATGTGGTCATTTTGTAACATTGCAAAAAAGTCTAAATAATATAAATAAAAGTTGTAACCTGGTATAATTTGGATTATTTTAATGTGATATATTAAAACAAATTACATATACAGAAATTTAGCTTAAACAAGTAATAATTATTTTAGGCGTATCAACTTCGGTATCAACGAAAGAGCTCGAAAAAAATTATAAAAAATATAAAATATCAATTATTGCGAAATATTAAGTATCATCATATAATCCTTCGGTAATTAACATTTTATATAAATTTAAACATGCACGTAAATATTATTAAAACAAATTATTGTAGATTTTGCGAAATTATGGAAAAAAATTTTAGTCTAATATTATTTTTGCAAACTATATCTAGTAGTCTGATAATCTGTCTAGTAGGCATACAAGTCAGTAATGTAAGTATAAAAAAAATTAATATATTATTTATAAAATATATATACTAATATTTTTACACATATTACAATTATGATACATTTGTAGAGTGGTTTAACAGATGGTACTAAATCAATGAAATACTTTTCCTATTTAATCATGGCACTATCTCAATTGTTATTGTTTTGTTTTCCTGGTGATCAACTGATCTATCAGGTAATAAAAAAAGCTTAAAAAAGTATATATTATTTTTACAAATGTCATTATATCATATAACAGAGTTCTATGGTTAGTAAAACTATATATTCCATTGAGTGGTATCAGACATCTGTTCCAATAAAGTCTGAAGTATGTATGATGATATTACGGAGTCAAAAACCAAGTTACATAACAGCTGGAAAATTTTATGTGATGCATTTAGAAAATTTTAATGCGGTATAAATTTTCAAATGCCTTTTTAGTTTTCTCATATATGATCTTAAAATATTTCTTTATACATACATTATTCAGCTTTGAAATTTAATCGTCTAATGAATTTTTGCACAATTTACAGATTTTGAATACTTCTCTTTCATATTTTATGGTTCTTAAGAATTTTAACGCATAGGATAATAATGTATAAAAAGCCTTGTACATAATAACTCACAGGTACTGTTAAATATTACATATATGCTCCCCATCCAAAATACATTTGGCAGAGATTATCTATATTCATAGCTTCTAAAATTAGATGATTAGTTTGTCCTTCAACACTAAGATTTAAAGCAATATTTTCTAATTTTTTTCCTTGAGAACGGACTAAACCTTTTAAACGTTGTTCAATATTTTTTATATGTTCTACTGCCTAAAAAAAAGAAAAAAAGAAAAAAAGAAGAAATAAGAAAAAAAAAACAAAATTAATTATTTGTTCTTTATAATAATAAGTAATATTTTTAAAAAAGAACTTTAAAATGCAAATACCTTTTCGTTAGTTTTCTCTCCAGCTTCTCCTACTTGATTCTTATTCCAGCTAACTAATGGATCATATACAAACGGAGTAAGTACACTTAATAACGTACTCGATCGTTGCCTTAAGACTCTCATAGTTATTTGACAGGCACGTCTAAATGGACCTTCTACTTTTAATGGACCCATAGCATCGACCATATTATGTGTTAAACGAAAAGGTACTCTTTCTGGCCAATCTAATAGTTCACCCTAAAAATATATATAGAAAATATATCTTTGAAAAATTTATCGAATAGAATGATATATGCATATTATATATATATATATATATATATATATATATATATATGATACGATTATTTACCCGATTAAATAAACAACTAAAATCAACGTGAACACAATCACCACATTTAGAGTCAAATAATATGTTTTCTCCGTGACGATCTCCAAGTCCAAGAATATATCCTACCATTGACATAACAGCAGTAGTCCTAATATATGCAGTACGAGCCTCGTACCTATTAAAAAAAAAAAAAAAAAAAAAAAAAAAAAAAAAAAAAAAAAAAAAAAAAAAAAAAAAAAAAAAAAAAAAAAAAAAACCGCAATTTCAAGCATTAACTATTAAAAGAAGTACAATAAAGTTAAGCGAAATATAAATATAATTGCACTCTACCATCCATAAGGATCAGGAAATGTGAGACGAAACCAATCTCCGAGAACTGGAGGATGACGTGGTAGTAATTTATTAAGAAATATATATCTCTTCTTTTCTAATGGATCTTTTAAAGCTAAAACCACATATGAAATATTCAATTAAAATGTATATAAAAATGTATATACAAATTTTATTTCGATTACTTACAACACAAAAGAGATTTTAATTCTCTACTTGTAACAGCTATACCCCTTTCTCTATATAAGTTAATAAGAATAGGACGAAAACCAACTAAATTGGGTACCCACTCAATAAAACCACACTCTTCATTTAGCGGTACAACACTCTGTTAATAATAATGAAAATTATAAATAGTCATTATTTATCATTTCCAAATAATATATTATACTTACATAGGTTCTTATATAAAGTCTTCTCTGTCGTGATTCTGGATCTTTTTGAAGATACTTATTTACAATATCATTAAATTCCATCAGTCTGAAATCTCTTCTTAAATCATCTTTCGGTTTGCACATGAAAAGATAATTTTTACCATCCGATCCTTTCAATTCAATACGACGTGGTCTTTGAAGAGATTGCATAACAACAACCTTTTCCTCTATTCCCGCAATGTGGACACATTCTCTATATTCAAATAAATATAAAAAGTATAAATCCAGTCTTTACATACAATCTTTACATCTTTACTTTTAATACATAACAGTACAATCTTTTCCTATATTACATATACTTACGAAGAAAATGGATGATGATGCTCGACAGAAGTATCTTTAGAAGGTAAAATAAATTGCCGAAATTTCGTTGCCGGGATCATAATCGGACTAAAATCTGTATTTGAAAACATTCGTGGTAAATTTCGTGATAATTGACTAACTGTTGTGTTCATTATTCCCTGTTAATCAATAAATAATATTTTATGTGTGTGTGTGTGTGTGAGCGTGTGTTATTATTATTAAAAAATTATCATAATATTAAATATATATATATATTTCAATATTCTAAACTTACATCAGGTATATTTTTATTAGACAGCTCAATTAATTTTTCCCAAAGTTTATTAAAATCCTTGATAAGTTTAGTCATTTCTAGTGTTTTCAATTGGGAATGATTTAAAATTTCTTGGCATCTTCTTTGTCGTATAGGATATGAAGACTATTTTCAAATAATATAATTTTTATATAAGAGTAAAAATAATTTTTTAGAATAATAATGAGAATTGTCATATAATTACATTAATAACCGAGGCCATCATCCATAAACAATGTTGTGGATACGCGACAATTAATTTAACCAAAAGAGTACAAAGTGTTTTTTGAACTTCTACAGAAGGATGACAAATTCTAGATACAAGTTGACTAAATGCTGTGAGCCACATAAATATTGGTAATCTTTCTTGATATGCATCTACAAGATAAATAAAAAAGAAAAAATAATATTACGTTGTCCTCGCGTTACTATTTTTCTTATTATAAATTATTATCATTACCCATAATTTTAGTCATCTTTAATAAACAATCTTGACGTAACTTATCATTCTCGACTTGTCCATATTGACTACTACGAGTAGCTACACGTGAAGCAAAATCTAACCAAATAGTTAACATTTTAGGCATTGACTGATGAATGTATTTGCAACCATACTGAAGTGATTTACCATAATAATTCATCATATGGACTTGTAATTCTCTAAAACAATAACATTTGATAATCTTCAATATACCTATATAAGATAATATTATATTATGGTTATTATATTATCTTACCGTCCTTTTATGTCTTTTTCTTCATCAGACATTCTATTAACAACAGATTCGTAATATTGAGCACAAGCAAGTAAACTTTTTTCCCATGCTCTCCAAACTTCAATAGCTTCCTTATAATTGCAAATACTAACATCTGTATCCACATTAAGTGTTTCATCATTATATTTAGCAAAGAGAAGTTTTGCCTGAAAATAATGATACGTTATTATACAAAAGAATGAGATATAATATTTCTTTTAATATGTAGTATTCATTATTTTTTTTTTCTTTTTTCATTTTTTATAATCTAAAAACCTTGGCACATTGCTTTCTTTCTTCAACACATTCTCCTGGCGGCATCTGTTTATAAAAAGAAGATGGTTTGAAGCAATTTGAAAAACATCGTTTTAAAGTTGTGAAAGCTTCTTCTTGACATCCTTTTTGCCAATATAATTGAGCTTGTTCTATGTATAGTTCTTGAGATGGACAAGAATCACCAGCAGACAAAATGTACATATATGATTGTTGATGTAAGCCAGCCCTAAAAAAGAAAAAGATAATGTTCGATGTTAAAGAAGAAATATATAATATTTCAACGAAAAAAAATATATTTGCGCTTATCAAATGAAATATACTTTCTAGCAATTTTTGCACTCTTCAACCAAATTTTGCCAATTTCTCGTTTAAGCTCTAGATTTTCTGTACCACTCGTTTTAGCCTGTAATTTTACAGCTAAATCTAATGTGGCTCTGCGCATACCAAGAACAAATTCTATTCCGCGTGATGTTCGTATAAGTTGACCACGTTTATCCCATTCTTCCAATATCAATGGAACTTGTTTTACATCAGTCATCATTAAAGAAGCTGCTTTATCGAATTCATTAAGTACATGTAATCTAAAAAAAATAAAAAAAAAAATAAAAAAAAAAAATAAAATAAAAAGATTAAAAGATTTTAAGAAAAATCCTATTTTGATGCAATTAGATATTCAAAAGACTTACTTCATAATACATGAATACGTTTGTTGATATCCTCCTGGACGTGAAGCAACTTCTAACAGCGATAATAATTTTTTTTTTATAATAGAAAAATCTGGCTTAATTCCTCGTTCAAAATCTTCCAACAACATGTCCTTTATATTTTTTTGTGATGCATTGTCGAGATGAGTGACTTGAGCAAGTCTCCAAAAAGGTTCATTATCAATTATCAATGGCTCTAATTCAGGCCTATTATAATAAAAAAAAATATAATATATCTGTAAATTACATCATATCTTTCAATTTTATTACCTGCTGCTTAATATACCCTCTGTAATATTTTTTGCTGTAAAAGGTTGATCAAGACCCAAGTAACAATGGATCATACCTTGTAAATATTTAGATTTAACAACTTCCTTTTGCGCAAGTCTTTCGTAGCATGTAGCTGCATCCTTTAAATTAAAATATCATATAATATGCACGCACGCACGTACATATGTACGCATGCACGCATACAATAAAAATATTTGTTATACCTGCAATTGTCCACTAACTTCATGTGCTAATACCAATTGTTGTAATGTGGGTGTTTGATCTTGAGTTGCTAGAATACCAGAAACTCCATCTGGCTCATCAAGTTGAGCATATATTTTCTATAATAAAAAGGATATAAATTATTGCGTACAATGAAAATCTTTTGATATAGAAAAATGCAATAATTTATTTACTGCAAGTAATCCCCCTTCTGTTGTTTCTGATAATCCTTTACCACTAGAAGCCATATGTTGTTCCAAGTACATTAAAGCACGATGATATTCGTGTGATTGATAGCAACCTTCTGCTATCACTAAAGTATCCAGTTTCGAACAGAATGCTATTTCAATGAAAATATTAAATAATTTAATATTTATTTAAATTCTGTAAAAATATATACTTTCTGTTATATTAAATCATTCTTACTTTCTACTGATTTAAATTTTTCATCCTGAAATAATCTTCGTTCTCTAAGCCATCGTTGTAGATGATCCAATATCGAAAATACAATTTGAGAACAACGCGTACGTCTAGCTTCATCAGAAATTCGTTTATCATCTATTTTCGTACTGTAGTCGTATCGAAGAGGCCGATAGTTAACAAGTTCCTGATCAAGAGTAGGCTGTATTCTAACATTAATTACAGCTAATATTTCTTCTCTCAATTTATTATGTATTTCTTCCGTTTCATTTGAAACTATGTAAGCTAATAGAAAAAATATATCCAATTATATATATGGTATAATAAACGATCACAAATATAAAGATATCACATAACTCACAGACTATATGAGGTAGAGCAAATATCATTGTTTTTATATCACGCTTGAATGCTGGTCTACAAGCATGTAAGACGTTACTTAAGGTTTCATGATTTAAATTATTTGACATACTACATAGCCAATTATATGCCCACTTTCCCACAGAAGATCCTGCTTCAGAGCTATAAGAAATATTTTAATTATTTATTTTAGCTATACAGTTATTTATCCGATAAAGACGTACCCATAAACAGGATGAGGAAATTCGATAATGTCGTTTACTACTGTTATTTTATAATGCGATGTTAGAAAAGGAAAGATTATTTGTTGCGTTGTTAAAGGTAAATTATTCCATAATTCACTGTTTTTACCTTCTGGTCTTATATCGTATGCTTTTAATATTTCCTAAAAATATAATGTAAATTTCCGAATTTGGTAATTATTAATAATAATTGTTTTTAATTATTAATAATAATAGTTGTTTAATAATAATTTACATACCTGTATAGCAAGTGAAAAACAATCCATACTCTGAGTACTGTTTTGCATTTGGAAAGCACGAACATTTTCAAAAAGCATTGCACAAGCAAATTCTTCATTCATATCAAATATGAATTTACTATCTTCCCTGGAAATAATTCTTCGAGGAAGAAGACTTGGTTCAATAGCACCTAATTCCCCAAGACATTCTCCATATAAAATACGAATATTATCATCCTTTTCTTGACATCCCATAAGTAAAGTATCTAAAAGCTTTATAAGAGAAAAATTTATTCCCATCATTTGGTTTACTTATTTGTTAAGTAATATCATAGAACTAGAAATTAATATACCTCAACAATTAATGGATGTACATCTGTATCGCTTAATATCATTTTATTAAGTTCTATTCTATGTTCTGCCAAAAATTTCTGCAGATATACCAATGCCCTCATACGAACTTCATCCGTTTCGTGAGTAATTCGTTTAAGCCATAATTTCAGATTTTTACCAAATTCGCATGGTCTAAAATTCAGAAAGGGCTTTGAACAAAAATTATTTCTTTTTTATTAAGCAGATAAATAAATATATATTACTTACTGTGCTTCTAAAATATGTTTTTTAACAATAGCTGATATATGACTTGAAACTTTCATATCATCAATAAAAAACAAATCCGATATAAATTTTGAAATGTTATTGTTTTCATGAAATAAAAATTCTAACATTTCATTTACTTTTATAGAATAATTTTCTAATAATGGTATCATAGAAACACATATAGTTGGTAATAATGGGCCAAGATCTTCCATTGGCATACTAAAATTAAAAATTATTATTTAAATTGCAAATAATTATATTTAATTAATAGTTCATTAATTATTATAAACATACTTGTGAATAAAGGCATCCCATGCATCACATACTAAGGGTCCAAAGGTAGGTCTTTTAAATCCTAATGAAACGCGCAATGTTGCTAAAATTTTATACCTAAGTGGCGCAACATGCTCTGCACCCATGTATCGCATTAATGTCGATAATGAAGCCAATGCACATTTTTGAGTATATTCATCTGATTTAGGACCAAGATTGACGTCATATTTGACTAATATACCATGTAGTCTCAGTTTCAGGTAAGCGACCTAATGCAAAATAATAAATAAATTTACATATTATGTAAAATAATATTCATTCATTTACTTAATAATATAAAAATAAAATTACTTACTATTCTTTCATGTGTACTAAAATCTGGTCTTGTAGTGCCATCATAGTCTGATATTATACGTAAAAAGCCAATAATTTTTTCAGGTGACTCATAAAATTTTAACATCAAATCTTCAAATATACCCTATTTTTAATATGAAAATAAATGAACATTCATGAAAATACATTCATGAAATACATTCATGAAAGAAGAATATTAATAATATTACAAAAGTATTTCTTACCACAAAAGAATCCCTTGTTAATTCTGAAATGCTGATTTTAGTCAATTTTGATACATATTTTAAACATTCTATTCCAGTACTCAATGGCAGATTTAGAAATGAATAACTGCAAATATGCTAAACACAATACAATAATATACATAAGTTTTATATCAGAGAAGCTTTTAAAAAGATTTAAATATTTATGTGATATTTTACATACTGGAAAATATTCAATCAACATTTGTTTCTCGTCTACAGACAATAATTCGGCCATATCTTGTAAAAGACAAATTACTTTTGGTGTTTGAAGTATAAGAGAAAGTAAGTAACATACTGCATGATAACCATCTTTCCTTAGTAATTCACGTGATCCATGATACCCAACGCATTTAGCAACGCGATGTACTGAAGTTGCAATATTATAAGAATTCTCAAGGTAATTAAAAACTGCTCGTTGCATTATTAACTATAAAAATATTCATATAAATATTGTAATAAAGATTGAATATATAGAAACTTATATTTTAATAATGTTATTACTGTGAGAAAAAATTTTTTGTATCTAATGTACAGCATCTTCGGTGTTATATTAAGAAAAGAAGCGATATCTTGATAAATAACTACAGCAGAAGCCACATTTGCAGGTGATGAATTTGGATGAAGTATAGTAACAAAAAGTAAATTAATAATTCTTCTTTCTGTCACGTATAATGGAACACTAAAATCATAAATATAAATTATTAATAATAAAATTATGTTACACTTATTGATTTTTATAGATTCAAATTGTATTTAGTTCTATACCATGCAAAGTTTTTTGCAGCATTAAGTAATGTATTATGTAAACAATAATTGGAAGTATCTAGTGCAACAATTAATGTTTCAACCATAAAATTAATCACAAAATCCACGAATTTTTCTAACTCTGTTGGTATCCTATCTAATAAGCATTCTCCAGTTCTCTTCAATATATCAATTCGAATATTTAATACTTGTCCTATTGTTATGGCGAAGTTTGATCTTATTTCTACATTTTCATCTTGCATATAAGGCAACCAAAGCTGTGTTATTGTATTGCTGCTAAATGATTTCATATGCTTTGTAAAAGACATAAAATTTTTCGATAAACTTAAACGCACTTTAGGAGATCTCGATGTTAATAATTTGAAGTATTGACTCAACAGCTGATCATATTGTTTGTCTATAAAACATGATTCTAAATATTTATCTTTATCAAAATTATTTACACTTTTAGTACAATATTTACATTCTATATTGTTACTAATTATCTGTGCTATATCCCTGAAAGAAAAAAATATTTATTTTATTTTAATATATAATAATATTATAATAATATAAGAAAAAATTATATAATATCAGTACCTGACTACGTCAAAGCCACCTGATAAAAAACAAGCAATGTGACCTAATGTTTTTGCTAAAGTCTCTTGAATTAGTTCATTGGTTGAGAATAAAGCAGGCTTTAAAATAAATTCAGAGATATCTTCTAATTTTATTTTTGAATTTTTCATTAATGTAATGCTGCTGCTACAAATTACAAAAATATATAATTATAAGAACAATATATATAACGCTATTCTATTTTAAATATATGAATTTATTTCTACATAAAATACTTACTTTATACCTATAATAGCCAGTTGAAGTTCATTGTTTATAATAAATGTACGTATTAGATATAATCTATTTTCTTTTTTACCATGTCCACATATTGTCATGAAACATTTCGCTTTCATTTCATTATTAAGAGATTTGAGAGTCTCCATACCTGTTTGATTTATTTCTGCTGTTTCTTTTATATTCTTCATAAATGGTAATGTTAGTATTGATTCAATCAAATCTTTGTTAGATTCATTATGAATCATTACACACATTATGCTTCTCAAAATAATTTCTTTCAATTCATGTTTACCAAAATTAAGTTCGTATATTAGTTTCTTTAATATAACATTTAAATCATCTTTATATAAAATAACATCGATATTTTGTTCAATAATCCAGTGTTGTAACAAGCAAGAACCATGTAAAATGTATAACATATCATTATATCTATTAGTTTGCACGGCAGCATTTAATTCTTGTTTAAACAAAAACCATGCTTCATTGACTTCCTCTAAATTTACATTATTAGTTATTGAATCATTGTATCTGATTCCAAAGTAAATATAACACATAAAAACTGAAATAAATTCCTAAAAAAAAAATATATATATACATAATAAATCTATATCGTATTTATAAAACATATTGGATTTTAGAGATAATTCTACTAACCGGACAATTGCGAAAATATTTGATAAACTTTTTAGCTTCAAAAGAAGTACATGATCTTGGTTCTAAAATTAAATATTCTTTAATTTTTTGACAAATTTCTATTTTCAATGGTTTTAGTGCTTCCTGTTCCACTTCAGCCACTGATTGTAAAAATAATAATAAATAAGTAACAATGTAAAGTAATGAGTAATAATATGTATTAAACTATATATATTTAAATTTAATAAAAACTCACATATGAATTCATGCTCTAAAAGATTAATTATTTCAAAGCACAAAGTAGTAAGATTTGTTGATGCTACTAACATATGAATAAGTTGTAATAACGTTTTAATATATTGATTGAGAGCTTCAATTGTCAATTGTCCATAATTTATCCATATTGGAATAGTTTTTATAATTTCAGTAGTATAAATAATTAATGTTGATGCATACTTAAAAAACATACATTTTTAGATTAAATTGATGCAAGACATATATGAATTCATATAGATATTAAATAATTAAAGTTACATACTTGATTTGTTGAATTACAAATTTCTATAAGTTGTGGAGAAAGTTCTAAGATATTTAATTTTATATCTGGAGCAGATCTTACGATAGTTCCTATAAAAATATTCCCAAGTTTTTCTTGATCCCATGTAGATATTCCTGATTTATTAATAATCTATATAGTAGAAATTCACATGAACATAAAAATATACAAAAATAAAGAGACTATTTTATTTATTATATGCGATATATTATAATTTAAATTACCTCCAATATAGATCTCTGTACAGATGTAACAAAATTAATTTTCAAAGTTACTGGGTATGTTGAAAGATCTAAGTCTGGTATACAATTATCAATTATTATAAAATTACGCAGTATTATTTCATCATTTTCTTTAGCATGTACATAGAATCCGTTTAGTTCTGCATGAAGAATAAGTAGAAATAAAAGACAAACTATATTGTTATATAACTGTAATAAAAGTTGTTAATAAATACCTTCAAGTATAGATAAATATATCATGCTTATTTTTGTAAATGTAATACTATGATGTGCCGATAATATTCTAAGCATACATGCTTGTACTTCTATACTTTTCATAAGGACATCATTGCTTAATGGATTCCCTATTATATAAAACATTGCTCCAAAAAGCCATGTTGTAAATGCTGGAAAATAAAATGATGTAATGAAAATATGGTCAATATATTTCAAGTTAATAACATATATAAATATATTTAATTACCTTCATATTGTACATATAAGTTGTCATCATATGGAATCACATTGTAAGGAGGAATTAAAACATTCCTTAAATTCAATGAACTTTTAAGAATTGATTCTAGTAGAGAGCATAGAATTTGTTCGGCTGTTACACTTTTGTAATCTGAGAAAATTGTAGTCACTGGACAATGAATAAATTTCCATAATGATTCTGCAACGCTATAAAATCATTTGTGTAAATACGATAGATCAAATTGGTTATATGATTTGTAAAAAGTTGTAAAAAGAAAAGCTAATTATTATTATTATTATTATTATTATTATTATTATTATTTTTTTATTGCAAATAATTATGAATATATTACCTAGTATTTTCTTGATATTCCGGTAAACTATCATCTTCATCCATCGTACGTTATATTTCATTTTTATACACAATAGTAATGAAATTAGGTTGCAATTTGTGTAAATTGCAATTAATCATTTCACATAATTTTAAGACATCGAATTAAGCGTTAAGAGCTTCATTATAATACAGCCTATAAATTAATAAATTGACTTATAACTTTATAAAACTCAATACTTTTGTCGTAAATGAATAAGATTGAACAGGTTCGTTCGTTAGGAATGTTTTTCGCGGTTATTCAAAAATAATCGCACAGGAGCGACATCTATAACACTATTTATCAAGATCCACTTAAATATATATATATATATATATATATATATATATATATATATATATATATGTATCTATAATATACAAATAGAAAAAATATTTTATTTAACGAATAAACACATATACAGTATATATTTTTAATTATTTTAATAAATTTATAATGTTTCATCATTTTAATATTTTTTTTCAACATTTAAATCTATTTATTTATAATTAAATATACATTATGAGTGAAATAAACGAAGAAAAAATATTAGAAATTTAAAAATTTTTTATCTATCAAAGATTGACAGTAACCGAATTTATTCTCCTCTCAAGGAGAATGTATTATACACAAAGTATATAACATGTATATAAACTTTAAACGCGTTTAGAAAGCTTTTACTGTTGACAAGTTTAGGTCACTCGTTACGAAACTTAAAGCTGTTCTACTTTTAGTCGACAGGAGTACTTAACAGGACTCTGATGTGAACATTTTTTATCATTATTATTATATATGTATATACATAATAATAATGATACATTTTTTTTCCTTTTAAATAAATTATATCTTTTTTTTTTTTCATACGCATAGTCAGATCAATTGTTCATTGTCATTATTATTAAAAAAGGAGAAGTTCCCCTTTAGATAGTAATTATTATTATATTACAACAACTAAGCGGTATGTGTTCTGATTTTTTTATTACATCCGGTAGGGGATTTCAGTCGATAGAGAAATATTTCCTTCGCGTGGAACTGACACAAAGGCATATCATTCACAACATAGTAGAAACATTTCTAATAAATATTCTATACTTGAATCTACATCTCTGTATTTTAATCGTTTCCATTTAAGTTGCCTTTGTCTATTCGACAAATAAAGTCTGCCATTACTCGTATCTTTAAATAATTGCACTTTTATCTTCGATTTCAAGGTCGTTTTATCTATCATTAAGACTACTTACTGCAGTGTAAAATATAAATACGAAACGCTTAATGAATACTTTTCTCTTCTTTGCTAACAGATAAAGAAAGGAAGAAAGGAAGGAAGGAAGGAAGGAAGGAAGGAAGGAAGGAAGGAAGGAAGGAAGGAAGGAAGAAGAAAAAGGGGAGAGTTATTTTTCGCGTGCTCGAGTTCTATACACACCGGTAGAAGACTTCGTTCTCTTTGAAATCTTTATCCGTCCTCTTGTGCATATCTTCTCTTCTATTCTTTCATCCAGTATCATCGTATCTCTTGTCTGTACCCTCGCCGCGCTTGCCGATTTTAATCCTTCTCTCTTTCTCCCTATTTCCTTTCTTTCACTTCCCTCTCCTATTTTCCTACGCATGATATATTTTCTCCTATCGATTCTACGGCGAACAATCGTTTCTTTTTTTCAATGCCCCTTAAGGATTTAATTGGCTCTCGACTTCGAGCCATCGTTATTTCGCTCAAAAAACACCAAACAATTCTTTATTTGATGTTAAAAGGAAGATCGAGTTCTTTTTCCTTTATCTTCCTAAAAAAATTCCCTTATATTTACGAAAATGAAGTGAAGATATTAAGGAAAACATATCGTCTTTAAAAATTAATCGAATTCGATCTTACAATATATAATATTTTTATTCTATGTTGAAAGAAATCTCTAGCAATATGAAACGTAGTAATAAAAAAGAGTTACTCTCAAAGTTCGATTATATTATATCTCTTTGTAGAAAATAAAATAAGTTCGAATTTTAATACCGTCCTATACTGAAAGTATCAGACAATTTCTTTCATATATTTCGCTCTCTTACGAGGACGATGACCATACTTGAAACTATCAAGGTGTATTTAAGTTCGCCGCGTGTATTCGGAGGATGAAAGAGGAATGGTACGGGTACGACGATATGGACCCGGTTGCGGAGAAAAGCTAAGAGCCAGGAGTTTGCGCGAACAGATCAATACGCTTGCCCCCTGCACGTGGATTTGCCACTCTCCCTCCCTCGCTCTCTCTTACACAAGCATACGCAATATATACATGTAATAGTACACTATCATCCTCCGTTCGACCCCTCGGACTTCTTACCCTCTTCTTTCTCCCTAAATTTACCCCCCACCTTTTTCTCAGTCATTCTCTCTTTCTCTTTCTATTTCTCTCTTATTTTGTCTTACGGTGATGCCGCACAGATAACTTGTTTCTCATTCATCTCAAATTGTTCCTGCATCTTCCCATCTTTTATTATTTTTCTTTTTTCAGCATGTTTCGAACGTATTTCACAATGGTCCCAACTATCGTCATCGTCATTGTCATCATCTCGCTCTCTATATTTCCCTCTTTCTACTTATCTCTTCCGCCTATCATCTCTCTCCCACCCTATCAACGCATCTCTCCCTCTCTTTCCCCTCCTTCTCTCTCTCTCTCTCTCTCTCTTTCTTTCTCTCTCTTACTCTCTTTACCGATCGTTCCCTCCCTTTCTACCATCATCTCTACGTTCTGCTACCCCTTGGTGAGGTGGCGGTCCAGAGCGCAGAGCGCGTCAGCCGTGCGGGATGCTGAATCCAAAGGAGATTCAGTTGTACGCCTGGCTGCTCTGCCACTGTGCACTCTGTGCGCGTTTCATAACGTTCTTCTTTCTCTGAGTTGAAAACTGTCAAATCTTAGACGACATATTTTTTTTTTCTTTTCTTTATCATCTCTCTCTCTCTCTCTCTCTCTCTTTCTCTCTCTCCCTCTCTCTCTCTCTTTCTCTCTTCTCCCCCTCTCTCTGTCTATTCTTATCTATTGCTCCATTTCTCCATCTTTTATTCTCTTTTTTCTTTCTTACGTTCTTCTCCTTTCTCTTTTTCTCATCGTCATTCCCAATTTCCTTTTTCCACATTTCCCATTATTTCATTTCGTTGCATCGCATTCTCTTCCGGGGTTCATCTCGCCGACGGATCTAACGAGGAATGGACTTTTTGTGAAAGAAAGGCGTGTACCGAACATCCACGGTAAGTTTTTATCATTTCATATATTAATACTTTTACGAAAAAGAAATCGCTCGAAGGAACGTGGGTGTGCCGATGGACCTTGTCGCGAAAAGATCGCCAAGTTCGCGAGACTGTCAACAAGATGGTCCTCCTCCTCCTTCGATCTGAACTTCTTTTTTTTTTTTTTCATCATTTTGATAGTATTATCGTTTCAATAGAAACGTCATTTATTGTGCTAGGATATGAAATGACAAAAGGTATCAATTTTGTTGAGATTAAGAAAAAAGACCTTGACGTGACATTAAAAGCGTATCTTCGTTCGTATTCCACTTAAGTGTAATCATTATACTTCAACTTAAGTGTAATCATCTAGTAAAGAGCACTTACCTTATCACAAATGTAGATATTATTTAAATGAACGATCTATTTGATTTTACTTCTTTTGTACTTCGCTTCTCAGACCTAATCCGCGAAGAGGTAGCATTACGCTTAATGTCGCAGTCGTAGGAATAATAATAAGCTCAAGAAACTCGCATAGCTTCCTTCAAAAGATATGATCGTATTGTTAATTTGTTAAAAAGAAAAAAAAAGAAAAAAAAAAAAAAGAAAAAACATATTAAAGGAAACTTATACTATAAGTCCCCTTTTTTATTTATCACGTCCCTTTTGATTGACAAACAAGCAGCTAATTGAGGATATCCTGCTTTAAGAATGTTAAATATATTAGGATATATATAGATATATATATATTTTTTTTTGTTGCATGTTTAGCAACGGTCAGTATATAATTTGTCCTTTTGGTATTTATCAAAAAGGTCAAATAATTTATACCCTTTTTCATATCGATTTCACCCTTTCACCTATGCGCATTCGTATAGGTTATTTAAAACTTAATTAAAATATTATAATTATATATTCGAAAATTCACAATTGAGTTGAGAACGATTAGTAAATGCAAATTTGTTATAACATTTTATTTTTAGATCGAAATAATTCCTTATTTATATCCTCGGATGACTAATATAAGATATTCGATATTGTATATCGTCAAGGATGTCGAGCAAAGTATTGGATAACTAATCAGTGCAACCCGATCAAAGTTCGAACATGCTGCTGTTATTTATCAAAGAGCACGGATAACTGAGAATGTTCGTTCGCCTGGAAAGTGGAAATAAATAGCTTCGCCTGATTGACGAAAGGGCAAAATGATGAATGTAAAAAAAGAGACGGTATCGGTGTCTGTTAGAATCAAAAAGAGCGAGAGAGAAGTTTTACGAATAAAATGAGTAAAAGGATTCCCATCAAGGAGTAATAAAACATAAAGGAAATAGAGGGATACAGGTGGAGCCGTCATTTGAATCGAAAGGACAAAGTGAACAAACATTAAATAGATTCGTACATAGTTCAATATTTGTACAGCCTCGCATTTCGTATTTCCCGCTTAAATATCGTATAAGGGTCTCGCGAATTGCCCTCGTTCGCGTCGTACTCGCAAACTCTATCCAGAGATATGTACAATGTACATAATGTATACACATATGTATATATATATATATATATATATATGTGTGTGTGTGTGTGTGTGTGTATGCATGTATACGTATATCTATGCACATATACCAAGACCAGCATCACACTGGCGTTGCATCTCGAGTGCCTGAAAAAGCCGTTTCGAACGAATTAATAATGCGGACGAAGAGGAGCTCTTTCGTTCCTTCTCTCCCTCTCCCTCTCACACTCTCTCTCTTTCTCTCTTTCTCTCGTCGTTGAAACGAACCAGCTGAACTTTACGCGAGTTCGTGGACCGCATAGGTCATGACCTGACGACCCATCCCGGACCGACATCTAGGCCATTCTTGAATTTTAATCCGTGCCGCAATTGCCACCGAGCTCGATTAGCCCCGGCATCGTAGAAAAGCGATAGAGGTGTACCGAGCTTTAACATCATCCACATCCACACGTCGGTCCACTTGAGCCCATCTCTTTCTATCTCACTCTCTCTTTCTCTCCCTTTCTCTCTCTCTCTCTTTCTCTCTCTCTCTCTCTCTTTTTCTTTCTCCTCATCTACTTCGACACGACAATATTATTTTCACCCTTCGGCTTAGAGCCCATTGAAATTTTACTTGGCCTCCTCTTTGATATGGATATTGGTATGAGAAAAAGTCAAACAAAGCATTTATAAACAAGATCAAATCAAAATATTCACACATTCTTTTCTCTCCCCTAAAGAAAATCTACGAGAAAAAATATTCTAGAAAAAACAAAAGAAAAAGAAACAACAAAAAAAGATAAAAAGAAAAATATGTGGCTCGAATTTTGTGCGAATATATTTGGGCTGTTCCATGGCTTAAAGAAATTCATTTTCATGGCTCGAATGTGGTGTACGACGAATGTTTATCTTTCATTTAACATGATCCGCTGAATAGGTGCGAACACTACTCTGCCGAAGTCGCATGATGTTCCTGTTTAAATCCCATATAAGTTTGCACCTATTATTATATTCATACGCTTTTCAGTTCGATGGAACGACGAATATGTCTATGTATGCATGTATGTATCTACTTCTCATTTACTTAAATCCCATATACGATAATACAACGAAACTCTCCGATTCTCAACCGAGAAGCTTAAATGCGTACCAGCTATAACGGAGATGATAGGATTAATTATATATGAACGGATAGGAAGGATCAATGCGAACTATGTAAGCCAGACTATAATGTCTTCCTATTCGTGAGATATTGGTAATAATATCAGGTTTCTCCTCTACTTTCGAATAATTTCACGCTTACCAATTATTGACATTGATTATTCAAATGAAAAGTTCAACGTTTGAAACGAGAAGAGAGAGAAAAAAAAAAGAAGGAAAAAAAAAATATTCATCTGTATTCGAATGAGTACATCCCTTGACATTAATTATCTATTAATTAATTAATAAGAGTATTGATCAAAGCAAAACCAAATAATACGTTAAGAGTTAATTTTCTAGTGAATGTAAATATATCACGAGCCAGACCGATGGCAAACACGATGAGTAAATTTTTTATGGAGTACACACTTAATGAAGACAAACAGATTTTTCTCTTTCCCTGTCTCTCTCTCTCTCTCTCTCTCTCTTCCCCTCTTTCTCTCTCTCGCTCTTTTTTTCTCTATCATGAAAAATAAACTTTCAAACACGTACAACAGGAATCTCTTTTTTTTTCTTTTCCTTCTTTCTGATTACAGGCTACCGTCACGTCGGAGGGGAAGGGGGTGGAGAGAACAGGACACGAGGATGGGTGTCTATGTGATTGGGATAGTTGGCGTTATCGTGTTTTACGTGGCTGTACTCGCCGTTGGTATTTGGGCTGCGTTTGTAAAAAGAAAGAAAAGTCAACAGCAACATGGCCAAAACGACATGATATTGGCGAATCGTCGATTAGGACCATTGCTTGGTGTCTTCACGCTCGTAGGTAGGTATGAAGAAAATGATTGGATAACATGCTCTCTGAACTGTGATCCTGAGATAGAAGCTCGGAATTGTCAACCAAATTTAATGCATATGCATATTCTTGCCTGACGAACATATATATACATATATATGTATATATATATATATATACACATATATATATATATATACACACACATATATATATATACACATATATATATATACACACATATATATATACACACACACACATATATATATATATACACATACATATATACATAAACGTGTGTATGTATAAGAAAGGATTTAGGTAATATACAAACTTGCACATACTTGGGGAATAGGGAAGCTTCGACTAAATTGGAAAACGATACCAGACGACAACCGTTCGACTCCTGGGAATCGGCTGACGAAGACACGTTCGCTTATCAGCCGTGAATTCTTTCTTTTATTTCCGTTCTAGAACGGGACGGAAATGCAAGAGAAATTGACGGGCGTCATCGGAAAACTTTGCTTTCTCTAGCGAATTCGTTGTCACCCAGTTGGCCTACTTAAAAACGTGCGTTATTATTCGCTTTACCTTCCACGTACAGTTTTATTCAGTTCACTTTACCAGGTTCCATTCTCTTCACTGGTCTCCTCTTGTTCCTCTCTCTCTTTTTCTCTCTCTCTCTCTCTTTCTTTCTCTTTCTATAGTTTTCCTTCTAGTTTCTCATCCTCCCTTATTTCTCCTGCCCTTTCACGATGAAAATCATTTTGCGGCTTTTCCATCCCTCCATTACGGTAATGAACAGCCCCAGGAGACACAGAGAAACGCAGTGGCAAGTACGCTCTACGCTCGCGTATTCCCTTTATCTATCCGCTTCTCTCGTTGTTGAATGATGGGTAGACCAAGAAACGCGTTTGGTTGCGGTGTCCGTTACACCGTTTATTCACGGCACGATGTTCGCGGCCTCGTATTCATTGAGTATTCAATGCACTGAAAGAAGAGTTCGGTACGTTACAAGCAAAGGGAACACGTTTAAAATTTTCTACAGCATATTAAACAAAAATGTCATCTTTTTTTTTTGTTTTGTTTTTCTCTATCTTAATCCCTCTTCCACCCCTTAATTTATAATTGAAGTTATTAAATAATTTCATATCCTCTCCTAGTGTCTAAATCATCTATATAGTGAAATTTTGTTTAAAAATTTTTTCAACTCCAGAATGATTTCATGAATTAATTGTTATTTTTCATTTCTATCTAGCCACGTGGGTAGGTGGTGCATACGTGAACGGAACTGCTGAAGTTATGTATACGAAGGGTTTACTTTGGTGTCAGCCGCCGATTGGTTACAGTCTGAGTCTTCTCTTTGGTAGGTCCTCTAATATCATTGAATAATATTTTATCGACGTACAACGATCGCATGTATTCAAGTGACAACTTTACAGGCGCTGTACTATTTGTGAGACCAATGAGGAAAGCCGAGTATGTGACGATGTTGGATCCTTTTCAAGAACGATATGGTGCCGGAGTTGGTGGACTACTCTTCATTCCGGCACTATTTGGTGATTTGTTTTGGTGCGGAACGGTATTGAAAGCTTTAGGAAGTTCATTGGTCGTCATTGCTGACGTTGATCCACATTTGAGCATTTGTGCATCGGCATTGTTAGCAGCCATGTTAGTACAGAAGAGTATGTTAAAAGGCATGCATAGTCGAATGTAGACTATTTAGATGAGCAAACTTTAATCGCCTGTTCGAGTCATAAAGACACCTTTTCTTTTATATCTTTTTTCTTTTTTACAGATATACCGTTTTCGGCGGACTCTATTCCGTAGCGTGTACAGACGCTCTCCAATTGGCTTGCATAGTTCTAGGACTGGCTATCACAGCACCGTTTTCCATATTCCATCCGGCTACATCGTTTGAAAAGAATTTATCGTCTAGGGAGTGGCTCGGCGAAATTAAAAACGAGGATCTAGCGACGTGGATCGATGGCATGCTTTTACTCGTATTCGGTGGAATACCATGGCAGGTAACCGATCGTGAATACATATCAGATTATCTAGTTTCAAAAGATCACAGATATACACTTTGTTCAGGGATACTTTCAACGAATATTGAGCTTTCGAAGCACGACCGTTGCAACAACGTTATCGATAGCTTCAATGTTCTTCTGTATAATGCTCGCTGTACCTTGCGCTTTGATCGGTGTTGTGGCACGTGCAACGGACTGGACGATGATCGAGGGTCCGAACAAGACTCTGTCTTTCGATGCTAATGCTGCATTACCTCTCGTGTTGAGGTACTTGACTCCACCATGGGTTTCTTTCATAGGTGAGAATCAATATTGTATTAATGAACAAATATTTCTTGCTTGGTTATTGATTATGACTTGAGGTAGGCCTTGGAGCGATCTCAGCTGCAATAATGTCTTCGGCAGACTCCAGCATACTCGCTAGTAGTACTATGTTTTCAAGGAATATTTATAGACTCACACTTAGACCAAAGGTAAGAACATTTCGATCGGAACAAAATGTATCCTGAACACTATTTCTTTTTTGTTCTATTATAGGCATCCGAAAGAGAATTAAATTGGATATTACGTATTTCGGTGCTAATGGTCTCCGTTCTCTCGACTATTTTCGCTCTCAAAATTGACAGCATTTATTATCTTTCGTAAGTAATAAACGGATATTTAAATAGCTCTAGTATTCACATTTTGCTGTGAATATACAATCTTACAGGTATCTCTCCTCCGATCTTGTGTACGTCGTACTCTTCCCTCAGTTACTGGCGATCATTTATTGGCCTTCGTTGGTCGATACTTATGGATGCCTCGCGGGATACTTTGTTGCTGTGGTATTACGTGTCGGTGGTGAGTATCGTAGTCATTCAAGTGTACGCTCACGCTATGTACATCGTTAATTACAAGTGCAAATGACCAGTATCTTACACGCGCTTGAATCCTTTAGGAGGAGAAGAGGGTTTGGGTATACCGGCACTGATCGAGTACCCATTTTACGACAAAGTGACCAGAACCCAGAAATTTCCCTTCCGGACTGCCGCGATGTTGTCGGCTCTCTTCGTGCAGATCATTGCTAGCTTCTTCACGCGAAATCTTCTTGGAAAGGGATATTTCCCTCGTTGTTGCGACGTCCTTAGCGTTTATTCACCTGGAAAGACAAAAGACCAATCGGGGGTGATACAGAGTAACTCGGGCGCAGCTCTAATGGATTCCTCTTCAGTAAACGTACGAACAAAATTATTTTCTAACGTTAACAATAAACGAATCTAAATATCACTCGTCTAACTTCAACGATGATATTTATGTTCTTAGAAATCATTGTCGGGTATAGATGCATGCGATGGTGTCAGTGGTTGCAATTATGAAACTGATAGGTCTGGAGCTCTCAGTTTAAACGAGGATCCACGTTCTGAGCAACGTTGTTCCGAAAATAACATTGCTGTCAGCGATTTTACAAATAATGAAACGATAAGGGGAAACACCGTTGCATCTGTCATACAAAGAACCAATCAAACTAGTCAAAGTTTTCACGGGATCCCAAGAAATTCTTCAGTCCAACCGATCTCATTGACTGGTAGGCATGTACAACCGGCAACTAATCAATACGTTCCAATACCGATCAACGAAGCCAATGCAACGTGTAGAGGTCAGATTCTTGGAGTACGCAATCTTCGAGATTCATTAGGTCAAATGCTTTTACCAGTCGACAACAATGTTTCTTCGTCTGGTGGTAATGACGTTGGAAATATCAATGCGATTCCCTCGAATACGACGATACCAGCATCTATGTCAATTGTTTCATCTTATAACAAGATGTGTAATGAGAGCACAACGACAAATGATAAATTATCGCGAGACTGTGAGAGAACTGTTGATAGAAATCCAGTGGAATTTAATTTAAATGCTCAGGACAGTATGCTTACAAATGTTTGTGGTAAGAAGAATGTTAAGGGTGTCAAATTGGTCGGTATGGATGGTGGAACTTTGAGAAGACCGTCGTTACAAGTAAGACATCATTGTTTTTATGTCTCGTTGCTCATTTAATATTCTACAATAACATCATAAATAATTAATTATTAATGGTATAGGGTACATTCTCTCCAACACCATCCGTAGAATTGGTTCACATTCTGGATAGACGACAAAGTAGTGGTTCTTACGGTCCTGGATCTTTATCTCCAGTTCCAATGGGCATAGAAGCATGTAAGACTCATGGTACTGCACCCGAAGGACACAGCGGGAACGAACATTGCAGAATAAAAAGAGGGATCGTCAGGCATCACAGGTAGTTAAAAGCGTTCGAATCGAGACCACCATTTTACTTTTTGTTCTTTTTGTGACGTAACAATAAAGAGATTTATTTTATGTTTTACAATAAATTATGTTTGGAATTATATTGAAACATGTTTTTCCTTGATCCAACAGCTTACAAACATTGGAATCTTTAAGTTATACAAGAAGACATATTTTTTATTCACTTTATCTCCTTGTTTTTTCCTTTTTAATCGCATGGTTTTCTCTTTCATGTTACCCTAACACATTTTTCGTAGTTTTAACGACACCGGAGATCGAGCTCTTACAACATTGGCCAGACAACCGGCTTATCCTTCGATGCCGTTACGACCGGAGGATTGTCGTATGACTTTAGTGAAGAAGGACAAAAGAACGGGTATGATTGCTCGTCATTCCTCCGTAACGAATGAAAAGGAACTCGGTGGATGTACGACCACCGGTGTCGTCATCTGCAGCCCAAGTTACAGTATGTACGGTTCAGCCGTTAAGAACTCCAATTACTTTGTGACCGACGATGAAGCGGTCAGCAGATTTTAAAAGATAAAACGTCGAAGTGGAAAATTGAAGAGACTAAGAATCGATGACAATCGTAGCTATCTTCTCATAGATGATAGGTCAGCCCCTTCGTACCTCTATATCTCAGTCCCAATTTTTCATTATTGATTTGTTCAGTAAACTTCTATGAAAATGTCATACCTATCCTTCTTTTTTTTTTTCTTCTTTTTTAATATACATATATACATCCTATACAACACAACTTTCCGTTCCATTGTTCATTAGGTCGACGTAGGTTATAGATGGAACAGATAGCTCGGCGTTTATAACACGGCTGACGAAGCTGACGACGAACATTTTCTTTTTTTAAAGCGACATCAAGCGCACACGCAAAGGCAGGGTGGCTTGTGCCATATAGCAGAGAGCACGTGACATAAGCATTTCTATCTGACAAATACGTACATGCATATAACAAATACTCCTAGGATATAAACGCGTTCATCCTTTTGTTTTATCATCAACGTATAAAAACTAACAAAGACAATCTGACGATTAAAAAGATACCCTACTATTCTAGATATTCATACAATGAAATGCTTGTGTTCGTACAACTCTAGCTAGCGTGCAATAATTGTTACACACATTTGTACATAACAATTTAATATTTATAACAATTACGAAAATGTCTACTTTCGCGTGCTCGATCTTAAAGCCCATATTCGTCCAATTTATAATTATGCGATGTTATTTCAAACAAAAAAACACATGATCATGTCTCGAATGTGCTTGCGAAAGGAGAGATGATCGTGAGAGATCGATTAAAAACTTTCTTGTATAACTTATATACATTTGAAATGTTTAGAGTATCACTTGAGTCAAGTAGTTCAAATCGAAACTAGTCAGACCCTGTCCATTAATCACCACTATATACCTCTTTACTGATACATATATTACGTTTAAGATATTAATAGGACTGAAGTTTCGATGTCCTTTAGTTTTCGATATCCATCCTATTTCAGACTGAAACAAATGAATTTTGTACAAAAAAAAAAAAAGGAAAAGAAGAGAGAAATGAATGAGGAGAAAAATCGAATAAGGATGCATCTTCTCTTTAGCCAAAGGCCCTTTTAGATACATACATAAAATACTTGTCGTTCGTAGGGAACAGAAGAATTATTTCTTTCTTTCTCTATCTCTATCTCTCTCTCTTTCTCTTTCTCTCTCTCTCTTTTATGTCCAATCTCATCTGTATATAATATTATATTTAATTAGTATTTCATATTTCATACTTACCACATTACATACATAATACGATCTTCACATACGTTCTTGCGAAAATTAGATATAACCTAAGCAATAGATGATTAATCGATAAGAATAGATTATCGAGTAATTACATACTATAGGATACATATTATAGGAATGGCGTACTTACGCAATCTTAAAGTTTTCACAATCGAATGAAAGATATGAGAGTTGATAAGCATAGTCATGAAGATGGGTAGCGTAAACTTCGTTTTTGGAAAGACCATTATATCAAAAAGATAATTAGATTGTTCTGCAGAAAAAAAAAAGAAAAAAAAAAAAACAAAACGTAACGTTGCGAAACTCCTTTCGTCCGTTTTTTTGTTCATTAAGGTTTTAAAGATGGGAATTTTGAATAATTTATGTCAAATCGCTAATTGCTTTGTCGTCATATTTTTTGGGACGAGGAGGGTTGAATTTTTTAATTCTTTAACTTTTCTTTTTCATCTTCATTAACGAAGATTACGCCGCTTGTAAAAGAACGTCCAGTAAATTGGGTGCAAATTTATGATACTCTGACAACAAAAAATACGATATTTTTCCACCGATAAATCGTAAGGTCTGTAGGATTAATATTGTACAAGTAGATAGGAACGCGGATGTCCACGATAAATCGGTGTGATTATAAAGTGGAAGTTAGATCGTCCTTTTATCGAACAATTGTCGCTAATGTAAATGAGAAAGAATTAAGTATGTAGTATCTCAAAATATGTACGTAGAGTAAATGCTCCGATCCATTTGTTAAATGAGATTTAACATTTAAGATTTCTTTTTAATTTTTCTTATTTCGATCGATTTCTTTTCTTTTTTTTTCTATTAATTGTCGATGATCGTATCATTTGTTATTATTATTTAGAGAATTATCCCTATCACATGATTCGTACTTAATTCGAAATAATGAAAGCACATATATATATATATATAAACTTTTTATTTACTTGTTTTTAAACTACATTTTAATGATAAACTTATTAATACTTATTGTGATCTTTTTGTTGCTTTTTGTGATTATAAAAGAGCTTGTTTCATTCCTTTTTTTCGTTAAAAAGTGATTGGAGCCAAGAGTTTTCTCTACTTTTATAAATAGCCAGGTTCGTATCCATCCCCGTTGAATTAAGAGAGTGATCCTCATCTCTCGTATATATATATATATATATATATATATATATATATATATATATATATATATATATATATATATATATACACATATATATATACACATACATAAAAATTTTTAGTAAAGTAATAATAAGCGAAAAAAAAATCGTAATTAAGGTAGTAATTATTAATTAATAATATAGAGATGTGGGGGAATAGATAAGGACCTGAAGAAAATAACAACAAGAAAAACAATGATAAAATAATATTACGTTGATTTTATTCTGTCGGACGTCGAAAAACCTATATCAGTATTATTCAATCGTAGAGAAGGATTCGTGAGTTAGAGATCGAATTCTGATAGGCGAATCCTTGTGAGAGACACCTCTTGTCTTTCATAGAATTACTTAATTCGTTAGAATAATATGATTAGCACAGGTAATACGGCGATCGTGTTGGCACAAATACATAATATGTTTTTGCTTTAAATCAAAATAACGAAACGATACTGCCCTTTCTATGAACAAAAGAAAAAAAGTAAAAAATAAAAAAAAAAAAAAAACAAGAGGAAGAAAAAAGTAAAATTCGAAACAGAAAATTTTTTTCTTTTTGTTTTTGATATTATATGTACGAATATGGAGTGGCCGAGAACAGTAAGCAATCTTAACATTGTCCTAACGTAGAATATACATATACATACATATACGGTAGTTATATCTAAGTTCATTTATTCTATATCTATTTCCCTGAAACGACGGAATATATATATATAACAACAAAATGAAAAAGAAAGCCGAAGAAAAATGTTTTTTTTATACTTAGAATCATACGTACAGAAACATATATGTACGTATAATATCGACTGAGACCGCGTCCTCCCCTATTTCTCGACTATCAAATTCTAATGAAGAAAGAAATATTCCCGTCTTTTATAATAAACAAAAAACAAAAAAAAAAGAATACGAAGAAGAAAAACTTTCTATACAAGTTTAAAATGAATTACTTGGTCTAGGATTACCAATTATTTTTCTACTTTTATCTATGACGCAATATAAAACATAAAAGAGAACGCATACAGATATAAAGAGTACAATACACGATATATAAGTACACGTTAATGGAGGTTGAAAAAATAAAAAAGATAGTAAAATTAGTAGTTAAATATTATAATTGATAACATATAAGTATTCTATACATATATACATACACAGCATACATACAGTAACGAGCTATATCCATATTCGGCTAATTATATTCTTCAAATTAGTTATCATTTTGATTTTGATCATTTTATAGATCGAGAATGTTCCGTCAGAACGTATATTTTCTAATTCATAAAATTCGTCAATAGTTCGTCATTTCTATACAAATTATTGTTGATATTAATTTTAGATATATGCGATCGCCGTACGTTATAAAAAAAAAATAATAATAATAATATTAATAGTAATAGTAATAGTAATAATAGTAATAATAATAATAATAATAATAATAATAATAATAATAATAATAATAATAATAATAATAATAATAATAATAATAATAATAATAATAATAATAATAATAATAATAATAATAATAATAATAATAATAATAATAATAAATAATAATAATAATAATAATAATAATAATAATAATAATAATAATAATAATAATAATAGTATTAATAAAATTAAAAATGTATGGTCGTTGAAAAGGTTCGTGTACGTTTGTTACGTAATAAAACAAAACAAAAAAAATGAGAGACACATGGACAATTAAGCTTTTCTAATATCTCTCAAAATAATTTAATTTTACAGAACCATTTTCGTCGACGAATACATGCAGACTATAAACTTCGAATGATATCGACTTATTTACATATGTATATATGATAGAGTGATCTCTTTAAAAAAAAAAATCATTTTGGTTGATATACACATATACATATATTTTCTTCTTTTTATGTTTACTTCAATTATCTATAACCTATTATTTTTATGAATTTATATTATTATTTATTATTTTATATTCATTATTTTATATTTTATACGATATCTCTCGAAGTTCGTTTATGTACGAACACGTGAATATATACACACATACATACATAATATATATATATATGTGTGTATGTGTGTGTATACAATATATATGACACGTATATACATACATATATGTACACACACACTTACCATAAAGCAGAATAGAAAAAATTTTTGTTTACGCACAAACAAAAAAAAAACATACGAAGCGTCTCTTCTTTTTGTTTCTCTCCTTAGGATTCAACTTTTATACTCGAAAATATCTATTAAGTAAATATTTTCACTTTTAAAAGAGCAATCCTTTTTTTACAATCAGCGAAATCACTTGTATGAAAAAAAAAAAACAAACAAAGAAGAATACGTAGTTTTTACTAATATAATTTGTAAAATCTCATAAAGAAAAAAAAATATTGTAATTGAATCGCTTCGATGTATACATACCATATGTATATATACATACAACATAAATACATATATATATACATATATATATATATGTATGTATATATATTAGTTGATAAGTATTTACGTACTAAACTATTCCATATTTGCATATGACATTTAATATGTCCTGAAAGCATTTAAATGTAATATGCAAATAAGGATTGTAATGTCTCATTAGAAAGGGACACTCACACACACATATACATACACACATACATACATACGCACACTTTCGTTCTATAAATCAATATTAACACACGATAATGACGTTGTGTTACGTGAATTACGTGCCAAAGCGTAGATTAAAGAAAATAAATAAAATTATATCTCTTACAATTAGATGACTTCGTTGAATTGACCAGTGCGATCGATCAAATTATTTACTAATGAAAGATTGGAAATGATTCATCGATGCAGTGATCGATACATCGAATAACTGAATATAGTAATAAGCTCGCCTTAATTTGAATGCCGTACGAAGAAGGAGAATGCATTGTCGATCTATGAAATCGTTGGAGAATATTGAATGAACAAAAATGAATTTTCTTCTGTTTTTTTTTTTCTTTCCTTCATTCAACACTTTTTTCCGACGTTATTTCTGAAACAACGACTGAGCTTGCTCTTCGATCGTACGACACGATAAGAAAGATCAGCCACACGCACACACACAAAGTTAGTATTAAAAAAAAAAACATATATATATATATATATAATTAAAACTAGACGTAAGATCACACGTAGAGGTATATATATATATATATATATATATATATATATATATATATATATCTTAATTTATTCTCGATACATCGATGAAAATATGTATATGTGAAATAAATGTGGTCAGTGCTACCATCTGAAAGAAACAAGCAAAAAAAAAAAAATACGTGAATGAATAAATGGAAATGTCAATAATAAAATATTTCTTACCGTCGTAAGATAAAATTACCTACACAACATAAAAAAGCAATCGTTATTCTGCAAGTATTGTCCTAACGATCGATGTGATCAAGAACTCGATTAAAGGCAAAATTTAATTTCTTTTCACGACTTATTTTATATAGGATTTATACAGCATTTACTTTAATTATTATAATTCGATAACGTTCCGTGAACTTATATTATCTTTTTCTATGTTAAAAATGTATTCTTTTTTTTATTGGAGTTGAAAAAAAAGAAAGAAAAAGAAAAGAAAAAATAAAAAAAAATTCCTGCATCGAGTTCCTGATTCGCTTCTGTTCATAAAATCGTACGAAGTGCCAAATAAAGATATCTAGCGCAAATACCGAATAAAATTTTTATTGGGAATTAATAATTTCATATACATATATATACAATAATTAAAAAACATTGATTGAATGTTGTTATACCTTAATTCTAAAAGATTCCTGCAAATCGTATCTGGTATATATATGTATATATATTATATATTATATATGTGTATATATATATATATATACATATATATACATATATGCATATATATACATATATGCATATATATTATATATGGATACTTATATAATACTTTTTCAAAGAAATAAGAGCGATTAATTTTGTATATTTTTTCCGTCAGTTTATGGTTATAAAATCGATAAAAATATTTTTGAGATTACAAATATATCTTTCTAAAGATTCATAAAAAATAAGAAACAATTAAGATAAAAAGTTCCTTAACGAACAAGTAAATAATATTAAGTAATATGAACTTATTAAACAATAGATTAAATACAAGATAGAGGAATGAAAATGTCATTTTTATTCAGAAATAATAAGACTTCCGTCAGAAATTATATAAAATTATTTAATAATTTGAATAAAACTAAATATATAATATTTATTGAATAAAAACACTACACAAGTAAAAGTCTAGACGAATAAAAAAACTATACAAATAAAAATATTATCACAATTACTACAAAATTTATATCAAGGAGAAGATTAGTTAAATTCATTGTGATAATACTTTACAAGTTAATCATGTCAATGATTAATTAAACATCTTCTTAAATGATTACATATTGAATAACAATACCATGTTTCACCGCTTCGAGCATTTGCAAAGATATCGTTTAAGCTTCAACTATGAAACATACTTTATAACAACAATGATTCGTGCTTCAACTTATGAATATCTATTTCAGTTGAACTGTACAAACGTACGTTGCAAATACTACAGAAAAATTTATGATAAAGATTCAAGTGATAATCAAGCTCTTCTACCGTTGAAAAGTGTAAAGGCTTTGGACAAAATTTGCATGTATATAAAGAATGCATAAATTGAGAACTTCCTACATTTGTGCTAGGTTGATCATGAACATGCGATTGTTGAAGAGACATCACAGAATGAGAATCTGAGACAACTGGCTGACAGACAGTGGACATTTGCAATAGATTATTCGATTGTCTTTGTACACTAACCCCGTTATTTGTCAGATTATTATCTTGCTTAGAATATTGCATTTGCATCATATTCAAATTTCTTACATTCGTGGAAGAATACTTGACATTAGAAGTATTATAATAATAATTTTGATCAGATGACACTGGAAGACTAGAGATTTCATTGTTCGTATATAATTCTATACTATTCCGTGATCTCATGTTGACAGACATTACTTTGGCTGTTCTATTACTACACGTATTATGAACTGCATTCTGCATCTTTACTGTACTATGAGTATCATGCGGTTGTCCCATCCGCATATTTTGGTTAGAAAAATTATTTGTTAACTGTAAATTGGATATCATGGATGTAGATGTAGTCTTACATAATGCAATGTTATCTCTCTGAGCCACATAAGTATTATTCATATAATTATTAGCTGAAGAATTCGTCAAGATCGATGACGATGAGGCAATTAATGTGCTTTGATTGTGAGACACATTTTGTGGTTGTATTATTAACGATGGAACATACGTAACAGCTTTAATTATTCTTGGATTCATTGGATATGAGTTTGTAGTAACTGGTTTGACACTTGCATATTGAACGTTAGAAACTTGTGATTGAGATGTGTAAGGAGCCCTAAAAGGTGTTACTGATGATAACGCTGATCGTAATATTGGCATTCCTGTTGCTGTTTGTGCTGAATATGGTACTGGTATTAATGTTGTTGTTTGTGCTGAATATGGTATTGATGTTGCTTTTTGTCTTGATTGTGTCATTATTGATATTGGTGTTATTCTTTGTCCTGGTCGTGGTATTATTGGTATTGGTGTTGTTCTTTGTCCTGATTCTGGTGTTGCTCTATGTGTTGATTGTTGTGTTGACATTGGTATTCCTCTTTGTCCTGATTGTGGTTTTAGTATTGATGTTGGTTTTTGTCCTGATTGTGATGTTGCTTCTTGTCTTGATTGTGGTGCTGGTATACACTTTGTTTTTTCTGTTGATGTTGAACAAACAAAGCCCTGTTTCAGGCTGTTTGATTCATAATGAGGAACGTAAACCGCTTGTTTTTCAGTAAGTGAGTGATCTATAATAATCATTTTATAAGCTTTTGAAGAGCCCGGTATAGAGTTCTGTTTGGTATTTAATTCTCTTACGACTGGATGTGGCTCGATGTTTAAGTTCTTAGTTTGTTTCTGATTTGACAAATCCATGGCCACAGATGAAGATGCTAGAATATCAGTATTTTCATCGTGGCCATTTTTATTGTAAGAATTGTATTTTAACTTTTGGTCTATCAATTCTGAAATATTCTTTACGCGCAAGTATTTTTTAGTCTTTACCGACTCTTCACTCGTTTCGGTAGAATTATTTGATTGAAAGCTCGTCGTCGATTTCACGGTTTCTTTGAAGTTATTCTGATTTTTCTCTGAGATTTTAAGTTCTACCGGGGTAACATTATCCTGTGTTTCATTTATATTAATGTTTTCAGATAGCGGAGGATTGTTAACAAGAACATCCTTCTTTTTCAAGTCAATAGTTGATTTAACTATCACTGTGTTTTTGTTGTTTGAATCTTTTATATTATCATACTTATCCAAATCATTATTTACGTTACAAGCAGTTGTTCTTTCCTTCTCTTCTGATTTATTCATAAAAGTAGATGATTTATTGTTTCTCACAAAATAATTAATTTCGGTTATGTTCGAGTCGTCGGTTTTCACATCGCTGATCGATAAAAGACTTTCTAAATCTTGATCAATAGTACTTCGATTGTCACTCACAGATATATCATCAAATTCAGTTTTAACAGATTCTATTGATTTGGAATTTGTCAATGATTTCGATGAATCAATTGTCTGGTTGATCGTAGAATTTTCGTTTTCAATTACTTCGAGTATATTCTCGTTTACAGGATCTACGCTATCATTTGTCTTTATTTCGTTCGTTAATTGAGCAGAAATAATCATAGGTTTTATTAAATTAGGCTCTAATTCTGTCGGATATACCGAAGAAATTTTTTGTTCGTTTGAATCGTTGCATGCATTATTTGAATGAACTGTGGTCAAATTTGGAAACTCCTTATTGCGAGTACAAGTATGTTTATGTAAAGCTTCGCTTGAGTCAAAACTTAAATTACAAATCTTACAAGTAAAATCCATTTTGTGATTAGTCTCTTGACAGGAAGTATTATTTATTATTGTTGTATTGTATTCCTTTGAATTTTCTAAGTGTGATTTCAGACTGGAGAAATCTGATTTGGCTTGATTATGAATGATACTCTTACGTATCGTATTATGCTTTTGCCAATGTATCATAAATTCCTTTAAGTTTTCGTAAACGTTCTTACAAATATTACAGAAATATGTCTTTTTTATATCAGTTGCTGACGAACAAATGTATTGTGATCGCAAATTATTTTTGTGAGTTGCAATATGCTCTTCATACAAAGATTTTTGTGAAAATGTGAGATTGCAAATATTACAAGACAAATGCAAATTTAATTTCGAGTGAATACTTTGATTTTTGTGATCATTTGCAGGCACTATGCTAGGTAATTTTGAATTTTCTGTACAAGATGACTTATGAATTTTTAATTGATTCTTCGAAAAGCACTGTGCATTACAAATATCGCAAATATGTTCTGTCACTATAAGATACTTGAATTGATCTGAAGTAATAATTGACCATTCCTCACTTGTTGAATCCACTATCGATATTTTAGGAAAATTTGAAATAGAAGCTACATAACAAACATTTCTTATGTGATTGAACCAGTGTAGATTAAATATAGGACCCATACCAATAAAACGTATCTTACAAATATGACAAAACAATTTGATACTTTGAAAATTTTTTAAATGGTTTTCCATATGTTGCCGCATACCAATAAAAGAATACAATATTACTTGACAAATACTGCAATACAATTTTGGTTCTCTACTAGTTAATCGTTTTGTGTTACATAAATATGTCTCCTCGTTTTCAAAATGGGCTTCAAAACACTCCCGAGTTTGGAATAAAATATTACAGATATTACAAAGTAAAATTAGTTCAATAGATGGTTTGTTTTCAAATTCATTTTTATGGCATGCACAAAATTTGATTGAATTTCTTTTATGAACTGTAGAAATTGTCATTGATACTTCTTTATTAGTTTCTATTGTCAATGGTTCCAAAGAATTTTCTACTTCTTTCGATTGATTTTCATTTAATCTCATTTTTTCCTTTGAAATAATTTCGTTTGTTATATTTTCAACTTTCTTATTTTCCATATCAGATTGCAATGATTCAATCGTCGTACTATCTACAGGTAATGTACTTGAAGATTCGCTAGTAGATGTTTGTGTTTTTTCACTTGAATCAGTAGTAATATTGCTATCACTTCCATTTTTCAATCCCTGTTTGCTTTTGGCAATTTGATATGCTTTTTGCAATTCTTTTTCAGTATGGGTATAAATATGATTTGAGAGACTTATTATTGAATCAAAGACTTCTAAACAGACAGTACATTGAGTATTTTTATTATTGTATTTGAATACTTTACGACGTGAATGTTTGTCCTTTTGTTGATTTTCATGATTAAATTTTTTTGTTTTAGTTTTAGAGTTAGTAGAAATCGAGGAAATCATCGAGGGAAATGTTGACAATACTGAACTACTATTATCGAGTTCCTGTGAATTTGATTCTGTTTTATCACTACATATATCTAGGATATTGTCATTATCCTGAGACACTTTAAGTACCACATTGTTATCATTTACACTATTTTTTCTTTTTTTCAAACATTTCTTTAGATGTGATTGAAGTGTTTTAAATTCTATAAAGGATGAATCACAAGCAATACATTCATAAGGAATAGTATTATTTGACGTAATAATGTTTGATTGAAGTATATTAATTTCTTTTGTTTGCACATTTTTTGGTAAGTTTGTATTACTAACGTCTGTTATATTACTAACATCTGTTATATTACTAACATCTGTTATATTACTAACATTTGTTATATTACTAACATTTGTTATATTACTAACATCTGTTTTCGTTTTTACATCACCATTAGAAATTATCTTTTCAGAATCCTTATTTATTAAAGATTCATTCAATAAACCAATATCTTTTATACTATTTTCTATATCATGTAATATTATTGATTCAGTTGAAATATTATCTACAAACATACCCTTTGTAGCAGCTTCTTTTAAAATAGAGGTTGTTGATTCATTTGTTAAACCATTTATATTAGAACTTCCATCAACAATGAAAAGTGGTAAATCTTCTATTTGACTTAATTCTTGATCTGTATTTTTTTCTAATGTATTTTGTTTGTCATTATCAATCAGAGTTTTTTCATCATTCTGTAGAGTTGTTGAATTTTCACAATCAATTTCACTTATCAGTTTTAATGTCTCATCACATTTTTTTGAAAAAACGCTCTGTTTTGAAATCAGTGATGGTAATATCTGAGTTTCCTTTAATTTTGTATTTTTTTGTAACGTTTCATCTGACGTAGTTAATGAATTAACTTCTGTTGGAGAAGAATTTAAGGGAACTCTATCTAAATATCTTTGTAAAGGCGTTTTTAATAGCGACATTTTTGGGGAAATAATTTCATCCTGGATAATCCGTGGTGATTTTGATGACTTAGATATTCCTTCTATTTCATTTATTGATGGTGTACATATTCCTGAATATTTCATGTTTACATTAGACTTTTCAGATGAACATGAAGATATCTCTGAAAATTTGTCTAAATTGTTAACATTCTGTAATATCCTTTTTGGAGAAGAACAATTATGTTCCAATTGTATAATTGATGGATTTAATTCAACATATTTGGATAAAGGATGTTTGATTATTATATTATTTTCTTTTTCAGAAGGATTTAATTGTGTTAAAGCTTCATCAATACTTTCATTATTTGTACTACTAACTTCACATTCATTACGAGCAAGTATATCACTGGAATGATTAAAGAAATTCATTTTAAAATGATCAATATACAGTGCTGTTGAATGTTCTACTTTTGAAACTAAATTTTGTTCTTTAAGAGGAATTCCCAATTTTTCTAATTTCACTAAGAGAACTTTCAAATTTTTAGGCTGTTTATACTTTAATGGTAAAATACATGAATTTAATCCAATTTCTGTATTCATATTACTTTCACTATCTTTTGTAACATCTTTGTGAGAATTATCTATAGTCTTTGTAGGTAATATATTTATAGGAGAATCTTTCTGCTGTTCAATAAACTGTGAATTTTGATACAAAAGAAATTGTTGTGGACATTTCTTTTTCCAGTTTATAATATATTTATTATCATACACATTTTCTAATTTAGTTAACATTACTTTTGAATCAATAATGTTTAAGTTATTTATTGTAACTTCATTATCAATTGATTTAAAATTATTTAAGACTATAGTTTGTTCAAGATCTTTATGATGTAATTTGATCTTTTTCTTTCTTTTTTTTCGATTTTTTACAGAATTCAATATATCATTCGATTCTTCATGAGACATATATTTTCTTTTATATTTCCATTTGCCTAAATATTTTTCATTTTTATCTGCTTCTTTTATAGGAGGCAGTTCATCATTCATCTTTAGCAAAGAATAAACAGATTTTGTATCATCATGTGCATAACTGTTTTGTTTACAGTTATTATCTATGATATTTTCTGGAAAAAGTAAATGTTCCGAAGTTTTTTGAACATTTTTCATACTTTTTAATTTATTCTCATCTACTTGATTTGATAACACCACAACGGGTTGCACATTTTTTAAAACCTCTTTCTTGTTTATTCTTTGGTCGTCGTTTTTTTTGTCATTATTTGATTCATCATCAACACAAATATTATTTGTGAAATTCAAAGAAGTATTTTCAAGTTTATTATTTGTATCAAAAATATTACTAATGTCATTATTTAATTGTAGCGTTTGTTTTTTGAATTTTCTTGATAAAATATCAATCTGTTTATATTTGGATCGTATAATACTTCTTGTCTTATTGCTTCTTTTAGATTTACATTGATTCTTTGTAGTATACAAGTATTTCTTAAACGTTTCTTGAGATAAACGTTGAATTACTACTGATACAGGCTTACATAAACTTTTTTGCAATCTTTTTATATTACTATTGCATGTTTGTATCTCTCCATGTTTTATAGAATACGTAGTGTCAGATAATGCAATAGCCGTATTCAAATACTTTTTATCTTTTATTATATGTTCATTTATACTATGTTTCTTTGTAATATGTATTATAGAAAGCATGTTTTTTTTCTTATCATAATTTTTCTTATTGCCTAAAATGAAATATATCATTTTTATTAGTTAATTTTTATTAATATATTTATTAATATAAATATAAATTATTAAATTTATTAATATATTTTAAATGATATAACATTTTAACATATAAAAATTAAACTAAAATATTTTCTAACAACAAGATAAAACATTACAAGTACAGTGTAAATTTGAATTGAACAAATAGATCATAAAAACATTATAAATAAAACGATGGAATATATTCTTAAATATTTAATATTTATTTCTAAATTTAATGAGAATTAAATTGTATAAGAAACCATGATTCATAATTAGAAATTTAGCATAACCATAATCTGTAAAATTTACCTTTCATGATTATAGGATATTCTTTAAAATGATGCAATGTTCACTAAAATTAACTTTTCCAATTTATAACTTATATTATTTTATACAAATTTTTCACTTATTATAACTCCTAATTAGAAATCACTTTGAGTTTTCACCATAGAAGAATCCGTTATTCATAAATCATTCGACCAGTTTATTTAATCGTTTTTCAAATTTCATAAGCAGTTTCATCCACAAATTCGTTTGGTAGCACTGAAAAAATTTTTTATTCGTTCGAAACAACTTCATTGTTTCAAGGTACGGAAAAAACAGACTTGTAACAATTTAAAATAAAAATATTTAACATAAATACTTTGGATAATATATTAGAATGTTGGCTGTACTGTATGGAATGAATAATGACGCGGCGCGACAATTTTGACGCGATACGATCAGTAAATTTAAAGTATTTCTGTTTTTAACGTGAACATTTCTTAAGAATACATACTTTTTATCATTAACAATATTTGTCAGAACATTTTATTTTAAATGTCGTTTGGTGCAGGATTACTTTTAAATAATGAAATGATATATGTTTCTATGGCATAACCTAATAAATGGTTTGTATGTAAGTTATACTAAAGTAGTGTATGAATGTAAAGTGATTAATGTACACACAACTACTCTTGTTCTGTGATTATATATCCGTGTCATGTGTACACATATATATTGAAAAATTCGGCTTTATTATTTTTATTTTATTGTGATGTTAAAACAGCATGAAACAAACGATACTGGTCTAAACAGTCATCACCTGAAAGAAGGAAGTTAATAAAACATATATTGACGATATAACATTTATCAATGAGAATATTTTCAACAAAATGAGTGAAACAATTGTAACAAATGAAATTTCTGAGAGTAACGGTGGAACAGAACAACCGACTTACAATGGAGAAACTGAAGAACATGCCAGTAATTTTTTTATTTTAATTGTATTCAATAACTTATGTATTTATTAAGATTATTTATTTTAAAATTATTATGTACATTTATATGTCAAATTATTATGTATATCAGACAAATCACCAGGGAGTGCAGAAGATAAGGCACCTGATTCATTATGCGATAATAGTGTTAAAAAAAATACTGCCATCATTGGTACTGGAAATAGTAATGTCAATGTTACTAATAGAGCAAAAAAACGTAAAAAAACTCCAAGAGATGCTACAGCTCCAAAACAACCTCTTACTGGTTATTTTAGGTAATATAATATCAATCACTTCTAGAAATGTCATCAAAGACTATTTACCTTATTTACTGATTTATATAGATTCTTAAATGATCGGAGAGAAAAAGTAAGAAGTGACAATCCAACTTTATCATTTGCTGAGATCACGAAACTTCTTGCCTCAGAATGGAGTACATTACCAGCAGATCAAAAACAGGTTAGAATATTATTCTTTTGACCTTAAAAAACTAAACATTCATTTCACAAGCAAGATATTGTTTATAGCAATACTTAGATGCAGCTGAACAAGATAAAGAACGATATAATCGTGAATTTAGTGATTATAAACAAACAGAGGCATACCGTATTTTTTCTGAGAAACAGTCTTCAGAGAAACATACTGAAAACAAAAAAGAACGGAATGGAACAGATATAAATACTGAACAAAATGTGAGTATTTACTAAAATTGTATGCAATTCTGTACATTTATTAAATTTACTAAAATTGTATGTAGTTCTGTATGTATAGATATGTCTCCAAGATAACAATAAGAATTGTATTTGTAAAAAAGACTTAAAAAGTATTATTATCTAGGACGTGCAACAAGACAAGGACAATGATTTCACAGGTTTTGATATTCCCATTTTTACAGAAGAATTTTTAGATCACAATAAAGGTAAATAGTATAGATTGAATTATACATATATTACCAATGTATTATAAAATATACAATTTTATACATATTTGACTGCGTCTATGTTGCATATGCATCAATATCTTTTTACTGTTAACTAGCATGTGAAGCTGAATTAAGGCAATTAAGAAAAGCTACATCAGATTATGAAGCACAAAATGCTGTACTACAACGACATGTGGATAGCTTATATGCAGCTGTAAATCGTTTAGAATCTGAAACGAATCAACAACGTACAACAAATCAAGCATTACAACGCCATTTAGATTCTTTACGTGCACAATTAGCAGGGTGTTTTGCAACCATTCCTTTACCAGGTTATTGTTTAATTAATCATTTCATTTGTCTAATATCATGGTATAAAAAATGTATAGTAAAAATGATTAATAACAATGAATGATTGTTATTACATAAATTTTAGGTACACACGAAGGTGCAACATTACAAAATATTGATAATTATGTTGAAAGGCTTGAGTCATTGTTGAGTAGTAATACAGAACAAACATTACGTAATGCCGTTCGTAACGCTGTATCTCGATTAGAATTAATTGGATGACGATCGCCCCCCCGCGCTACAACTACACCATTAAAACATCATCGTTCAAGACATTCGCATCGAAAATAGCTGAAAGAATTATACGAACACAAAAAGTATATGTACTTCAGTTAATAATTTAGTTATTCCTTATAACTAATTTACATATTAAATGAAATTACTGTATATTATGTAAGAAATATTGTGTCGGTACTATAGTTCACTTATTATTATGGAATCTTACATACGATATTAGTCCCTTTTTTAGGTTGATTTTCTATTGCTAATATGTGTAAACAATTATGTTCAGGTTGTTTTAAGTTAATTATTTTCATTATTTTAACATAATGTAATAATTGCTATATTTGCAAATGTAAGTTATTAGATTTATCGTTTCAAAAAAGAAAAAACAAAAAAAAAACAAAAAAAAGATATTAGAATAATCTATCTTTAAAATTGGTACAAAATTTAAATAGTTCTAATTGTACTACTTACTATTTATTAATAAATTTTCAATCTTATTACTGCTTATTTTCCATGTTCCGTATGAAATTTTGAAATTGGTTCCATGTATATCTGAAAAAAATACATTTAATAGGGATATATTGAAATATAAAAGTCATATCACAATATAGTTTAGAAAAAAATATGATTTCAATTTTTACCTTAAAGATGCAGCATTAGGACGTTTATATTTTTCAAGATCAATTATAATAGATTCGATTTGTGGAAGTAAAACCTTTATAACACCAATCTTTAAAGATGCAATTGAACGCATAAATTCAAACAAAGACTGAGGATATGTTGTAAGATACCTCTGTATAATATCAGATAAGATGTTCATCAATTTTTCTCTGTAAATAAAAATGAAATTTGGGGTTATCATTTAATATAACTTCATTATAATTAAATAATAGATTTATACCTTATAAAAACATTCTCCTTATAATAATGATTCGTGAAAATGCTATTCATGAAATCAATAGCATGATGTTTATGTGGATGATGATCATGGACTTTTAAATAAGAAGTAATGATATGAGGTACGCAAATTGTTACAATTAGTTCTATTATGTTAATTGCATACATTTTACCTCCTTTTAATAAAGTTTTCAAGAGTAATGATACCTACAAAATGAAGAGTTATGAATAATGTAATTAGATAAAATAATTTTATTAATAATCTCTTAGAAATTTTAATATATACATACCAAATGATTATGCTTATGCATATTATTTTCAGACGATATTGTAAAAAACAATGTCATAAGCATTTCAAAAAGAAGATGTGAAAAATCTCCTTTCGCATCGTGGAAACACTTCAATAATGTATCAGATACTTTAAAATTTCCACTACTATCTTCTGTTATTAAAATCGAAATATATTGATCAAATAAGTTTCTAGTTAATACTTGTAATGAAATGTCACTTTTAATATTCAAAGATTCTAATCCAAGGATTATCATAGAAAATATTCTTTTACACAAGTTCTTGATATAACATTGAGGAGATTGTTCTGTTGGAAGGGCAATTTTATGTAATAAAACCTTCAACATGCTGTTTGCTTGATTCTATATATAAACAGGATATTTATTTATAATTATATTTATTAATTAGAAAACTACTAAGAATCACTAAAAAATTGTAGCTTTTTAAACATATTTTTATACCTTCACATAAAACATAGGTGAAGAACACAGAATTAATGTTCCTACACATCTATAAATCCAAAAAGCAAGCTCCGTTTCTTGAGATTCTTCTGTTATAGATGAGAGTATCCATTTATCTATATTATTGAAGTACGATCTGTATCTTATATCAAATTGAACTTTTTGTTGCTCATTCTAAAATATTAGAATGTACATATATATATATATACTTCATATATTACTTTATATATATATATATATATATATATATATATATACATATATATTACTTTAATAGTTAGAATACACAAATAATAATATTAACACAAAACTTACAATTAAATTACCTGTAGTGATTTTCGTTTTCTCATTGAAGACATTATAAATATTAATATAGCTTCTTTATTATTCTTGAATTCATTAAAATCCTGATTTGTAACAAAAATTTCTCTAATTTCATTCAATTGAGCTATATAATTTTGTAAAATTTGTATTTCTGTCCAATTTTCATCATATCCCAAAATAGAACATTTTATCCATGCCTAGTATACAAATTAATTTTCAAATATTTAAAATAAATATTATATTTCAGACAAAAATATAATATGAAATAAAATTTTATACTAACTTGAATAAATATAAGATCAAGATTTTTAATCTCTTTCTTTAGAAGGTGTATGTCTTCTTCTTTTTGAAGTATTAACATTAAATAATATCGTGTGATTCTAGAAAAAAATTTATAAAAATTTAATATTTATTTAAAAAATATATTCTATTATGATAATTTATATATATAAACAGAAAATAAAATTACCTTATATCTTTTACAATTAAAGATGTTGCAAAATGATGAAACAAGGATGCTGCAGAATGTTTGTACTTTTTTGCTAATCCTGGCTCTTTAAGAGCATTTAACGTAAAAGCAACTGCAAGTCTTGCAAGATCATGATAATGATCTCCAATAAGTAATGGATCAAAAGCAAGTTGTCGTACTCTACAAGCAACGTTAGACCACAAAGCATCTAGCATTTTAGAAACATATTCTGTAAATGAATTTGAATTAATTAATATATATTATAATATAATTAAAACATGATATAAAAGCCTAATTATTATTGAACATTTATATACACATAATACCTAAATTATTATTGAACATTTTCAAATAATTGCATTTTTTGAAAATGCAGATCAGAATTTTGATTACAGAATGTACTCTATTTTTTGAACATTCTAATAAATAACGATCGATCCAACCACCGATGAATAAATGTTCACCTAATTCCAATGTTGTGTCAGATGAAAAGATAATGTCTAATATATCAACAAAATTTATCATCATGGAACGAGACGTTTCATCTTTATGACAACTTATGATATTTACCTATTATAGAAATGAATAAATACAATAAATAATGAATATATTATATTATAACATTTCATCCATCTATTACCGTTTCTGTAATGTTATTTATTACATGGGTGAAATTCAATCCAAGTTCATTGAATAACAATAAGATAACTAATCTTCCTTTCCAAATTAAATTACATTTCCTGGCATTTTCATTATTTATATTGTGTACAGATGGTAAAAGATCAAGCATTACTGTAGACTATAAAGAATCATAAAATTTTGAATTATTAAAATATCAAAAATAAAATAATAATAATAATAATAATAATAATAATAATAATAATAATAATAATAATAATAATAATAATATTCTTCATAAGACTTACTACATTTAGAGTATCTGCAGTTACAGCTAAGGTAAGAAACAGTGAAAGAAAATTATATAGACCTGTTTCAGAAAATTCTTGGACTTTACTTTTAGAAAATTTGGAATATACACGACCTTTGATTTGATTCCAATACTTTGTATCGTTACTATCATAATTTTTTTTTAAAAAGGAACCTACAAAAAATGTATATTTTATATATATATATATATATATACAATAGAATTATATATATAATTATATTAAATATTTTTTACCTAATAATCTTAAAAACATTCCATAACTAGACTCTTTCACTTGTTCAAAATTACCATCAATTCTGTCCTTAATATGTTTAAATATATCCATGGGAGTTTTTCTATCACAAAAAAGGATTTTTTAAGAAACTAAATAAAATGTATGATAATGAAATTAGTGACATACTTTTCAAGAGATAAAGTCCATGGGCCAGATGTTTGTAATAAAAAAGGTTGATCTAATCTTTTATGGAAACAATCCCATAAAAGAGAAACAATTGGGATTCGTGATGGCCACCAATCTGTAATTAAGACACGTAATAATGGTATCATTACTTGCAATTCTTCATCTATTTCATCTCTTTCGCCATCTTTTCCACCTTTAGAAACATAAGCTTTCAAAATTTTTTCAACTTGTTCATAGTTAAAACGAATCTGTAAAAAAAATTTAATGAATTAGTAAATAATATTAAAGCATTTGTTTATAAATACATTATTTGTATATATTGTACATATTTGCAAATTTATATTAAATTTATATACATTACCCGGGAACAATTAGTATGCAAGTATATACCATCATTATTATAGCCATATAGAAGAGTAAAATGATATATTATCCAAATACAAAATAATTCAGGATTCTTGTAAGTAAGCAAAGAACATTCTGTATCTTTATTCCAATAAATCAAACTGTTCTGATGTTTGCTTTCATCTAGCATAGTATTTATACAAAAGTTTATATGATCCCAAAATGACTAAAACCACATAAATGTGTTAATATATTAATATACAATAATTAAAAATTAATCTGTTATTATTGTGCGAATAAAAAAATAATTACTGTGATTTGCATTCTATTTGCTAATTCATCAATAAAAATCTGAAGCATAAGCCATAGTTCTCGCATACAAGTACAACTGTATGGTGTTTTTTGACGTAAATCTGTTAAAGGAATCTAAGAAAATATAAATAATTTATATCAATGTGAATTTTATATATTTTTTACATAAATTTTCTTACCCTTTCGAATATTTTACATGAAATATAAATAAGATCACTGATAATTAATCTATAAACATTTTCAATATCATCTATGCCAGCTTCTTCAGAATATTGCCAATGTACATTACGCATATATATTAATGTTATATACAACCATCTTAAATCTAAATGAAGATGGTACAAATGAAATTCTGGTTGTACGCACTAAAATAAAGCAACATAACATTAGTATATATCCAAAGAATTTAATTTTTCAAAATAATTACCTTGTTGCCTAAGTTGGATGCAGCATAATGAAATATAGATTCTGGAATATTTCTTAGTCTGCCAAGAAATCTTTTTATAGTTGAAAATAATATATCTAAACCTTCTTCAATAGTAGGATTTATAATTCTCAGTTTATAATAATCCCATTTTATACTATAATAAAGAGAAAAGTTAAAATAGCACAATAAAAAAGGAAATTAATTTAAAAGAAAAATTTACCTATTCATGTATGTACGCACAAATGAAATAAGTCGACATACTGCTTTTCTCATAGAAAAAAAATCTATATAATTAGTTACATCCAAAGTATGACCATAATTTTCGTATCTTTTGAATATCTTCAATTGCATTCTATTATGAAAAATATAATTTTATTATTATAAAATAACGAAGAAAAATAAATAACAAAATATGTTGATTTGATATCTTACTCCATGCATTTCACAAAGTGATTAATATTTAATATGACAGTATTTGCAGGTACAATATTGTTGAAAAGTTCTATATCAACAGAATAGAAAGGATATTCTTCTGATGGAAAGAACACCTTATCCAATTCTCCGCTTAACAATAGACTTGTTTTATTTAATTGCCAATCATTCAAATTTACTTTTCCACAACAATTGAATGTTGTATCTAAATCCATTTTCTCTAAAAGAAATATATTGACTTAAGTACAAAAAACAATATGAAGTTTTATTTTAGTATACCTTTATAAAACCTAGATAATGTATAAATTATTTTATATATATATTTAAAATATGAATTTTATCCATACAATATACAAAATTTTTACTTCTAATAGAATATTATATTGTTTTTAAAAAGGAAGAAAACACAGAAATACTTTCATAGTCAGGTTGTAGATTTTGGCGGTTTTTGCATCAGCCATATTTATACGTAATTCGCGCATGCGTAAAACTTCTTTCCTCTCCTAAAATTTAACTTCCATTATATTGTATTGTCAGTTTATTCTACGTGGAAGTTGATGTATACTTTAACATATATTGAAAAAATTTATCAAAATTAAAAGAATTAATTAATTTATGTATTATTGTGATTTAAAATGAGTGAAAAAATCTTGACTTTAGAAGTTATAGAAAATGACGGTGCGTGCCTTAAATGTTTCGTATTTTGGATTATTTACATTTTTATAACCCAATACATTTGTTCATTTATTTTTTAGAGTTCTTTAAACAATTCTTGAATGGTGATTTAAAGAATACAGAGATTGACAAAGTATTGTCAGTAGTTCAACAACTAAATAAATTAGGACAAGGTAAAATGTTTATTTAGTTGGTTCATTAAAATAAATTATCTTTATAACTGTATTTTATAACTAAACAAATTTTACTGTTCTGATTTTCTTACTTTTCAGCTATTGAAGTTTTACGATCTGAATTACAAAACCAAGTACTTGCAAATTATGAAGATTTGTTATCACAAGCAATATGGGTTGAAAAATTAGAAGATGTACTTTCAATAATGCAAGCTCATGTACAAGTAAGTAGAAGAATAATAAAATTAATGTAAAATGAAATTTAAAAAACATTTTTTGTTAATTAAATATTATTTTCCAGAATTTGTTACTAGCTGTAGAACGTTTACGTGGGAAAATAATAGAACCATTTAATAGAATTGAAACTCAAGCAATAGTATTGTCACGTCTTCATGAAACATCTGATCTTTTACGAAGAGTAGCAAGAATGCAACATTTATCAAAACGTTTAGGTTCACAAATGACAAATGTTATTCAAGGTCCAGATATAATAAAAGTAGCAAATAATTTACACGAACTTGGTACTTTGGAGTTCAAATAATTTACTTTAATTTTTCTAATAAAAATAAATTACTATATTTATTAATTTTATATAAATTTATATACAGAGCAATTAATGACGGATACAGATTTAAATGGCTTAGATATAATTGCTGACGACCAACAAGCTGTTAAAGCTCATAGGGCAGTTGTGAAAAGAGTAGCTACTCATACATTAACTCAAGGTTTACAGACAATGGATAGAGTTAAGGTATGTAAAAAAAAAAAAAAAAAAAAAAAAAAAAAAAATTATATATATATTTTTATTTTATAGATCATGATATTGACTATGACATTTGTAACAAATAGGTCAGTACAGCTGTACAGGTATTTCAGAACTTAGGGATTGTAAATGAAGCAATAGAAATAACTATTGAAAATAATTTAGCTAATATCAAGAAAAATACCATAGAATCTTTTGATGTTCTCCTATCTAAAAGTCAAGATATAATAAAAAAAGTAGCTCCAGGTCGTGCTTCAACACCTACACCAGGAACGTCAGGGAATTTACGTACACGTATTTGGGAAAATCTTGAAAGACTTTTTCAAGACACTTTGTTTTTGCAGTGTATACAAGTAAAAGATAACTTAATTAGAGTTAACATAATATATATATTCATATTCAGTAGTATTAAAGCAAATACTTGTTCATGTAGATCGAATTATTACAAAAAACATTGCTGGAAAATCATGCAAAAGAATTCAATAACTTATCTGAAACATTTTGGCTGAAAGTTAATCAACTATTGAGTGAAGTACTTATTGCACGTGCACAAGGTAAAGGTTTTTCTTGTTTTTTATTTGTATTTAAATAATGTTATAATTATATTAAAATTTTCTAGAATCATCACTTGTAAAACAGGCCTTGGAAGGAGAATATCCAAAATTCTTACGATTATTTTTAGACTTAAGTAAGCGCTTGAAAGATAGATCACAAAGTTTTGGTACTTATAACATTAAGTATGTAATTGTAAACAATTATTCTAATCTGATAAAGTTAAATTTTTCTTTTGTAATGTACATGATAAACAATTAATTTTTTGTGTAGTCGTAATGTTTTGTCATCATTTGAAAATGCATACCTTTCTCGTTCGGTATCTCGTCTCTTGGATCCTGTACACACCATGTTCTGTGGAACAAATCTACCAAATCAAGATGAAATTGATACTTTAATTCGCACTGTAACAAAGTATGTAATTATATATAATTTGAATATTATTTTTTACCAATAAGCTTACTAATTAACTTTTTTCTTATATTTAGTGAACTGAGTGTTTCACTTGTTGATGATTGTCTGTCCATTGTGGTGGCACGTAATGTGAGCAAATCTATACGACTATTTTGTTTAAAATGTGAACAAGGATTAATAACAGGTGGAGAAGCAAGCCAAGTTATTGATTCACCTACAGCTGGACAACAAACCAATGTCACCTTAGCAAATTTATTACATTATCTTTCTAGTCAAATAAATCGTGTAATTGCCAACTTGTCATCTGGTTTACCAGTTGAAGGATCAACAATTATTTCATCAGCAATCAAGGAATCAGATGTATTAACAAAAAGTATACTTTCACCATTGTTAGCTTCTATCAGTGATGCAATCGAAAGTATTATTTTAACGATACATGATGATCCTGATTTCCGAGAGTGAGTTAAAATTATTTTCTCAATGAAACTCGTATATTTAACTAGACTTAAATTTATCCCGTTTTTATAGTGCAAACAGTCCTATTGGAAAAGATATTTCTTGTTCATTATACATGCGTGAATTACAAGGTTTTATTTTAAGATCTGTAAATACATTCCTTATCCCTTATAAAAATCAAGTAGTGGTCACTGAATGGTAAGAAGTTTTGTTATAATTATTATAATACAATATATTTTATTTTATTTCTTAACAAACTTAATTTTTAAGTTGTAAGACTGTAGCTTCAAGATGCATTGAATTATTTATGAGACATGCTTGTTTATTGAGGCCATTAACAGATTTTGGAAGAAAGAAATTAATTATGGATTTCACTCAAGTATGATATTTGTAATATTATTACAAATATTATTTAATAAGAAGCTTACTAAAATAAAAACATTGATTTATATTCAGATGGAGCTTGCTGTATCACCATTATGTGGTGGAGGTCAGTTAAGTTTGTTAGAACAACAACAATATAGAAGATTAAGAGCTTTAAAAGCATTAATATTACAAAAGCCAGAAGATATGGTACAAAAAGTTTTAGAAGATCCATCAGAAAATAGTGTACCGCCATCTCTTATCCTTCTACATTTATTTTCTGGTGCACCACCTGAATTATTGTCTCCACATCAGGTAAATTATTTAATTCTATAATCATCGCTTTATTATTTTTTAAGATAATTGGAAAAGTAATACGAGTCTTTAAAAAATGTATATATTTTAATTTATAGAGTGCAGGTTGGTCTATTGGACGATTATCTCAATGGATGGATAGTCATCCAGAAGAAAAGGATAGAATAGCTCTCAGTAAGGGGTCATTGGAACGTTATCAGTTAACTATACAACAAAATAATATTCCATCTTTCCATTCTTTGTTTCCGCTGATGACAAAATTAGCTAATTTATATGATCATTACGTAGAATTATTTACGAATTATTAAAGTAAGGTGTAAATGTTATTAAGATTTTATAAAAAATATGGAATTCATACTTCTACTGTACAAAAAGAACTACATTTTAATAATATGAAGTAAAAAACGAATAAGTATTGATTGCTTCTTCCTTACTGATTGCTTTCCCATTGACAGTATTTTATTTATAGACTTGTACCTTAGTTAAATACATTCCACATACTAATAGTATACTCAATATTATAGGTTTAAAATAAAAATTTTTGGTTACTTTTGGACCGATGTAAGATGGAGGAATCATTAAAGAATTTTCTCGGTTTATCTATAATTTAAATATTAATACATTAATTATTACAATACCAGGTAAAATATATAAAATTTCCTTTTTTGTTTACCTTCTTTGCAAGAGTTTTTAGTTGCAAAAGTCTTTTTTTTATATTTACAAGTTCCTTTTCAGTACTTTTAAGTGTATTTATATATTCAGATATTTGTGCATCATTGATAAACATATTTTCAAAAAAATGATTATTCACATTTCTTTTTATATAATGAAAAGTAGAAGTCATAATTATTATTTGATTAGCAACTGTACTCACACATGTAAGCCCATTATAAAATCTGAAAAAAAAATTTTTTTAATAGTATCTATTATACCAATAAATTATTATAAATTTTAAACATACGTGTAAGGAGAACCATATAAATTTAAATGTAGGGACATCTTGTCCCATGGTTTACAATGAAATTGATTTAAAAATTCTAAAAATCGATTTCTATGGACACTAATATTCATTTTTAAATTTATGAGATCTTCTTCAGTTAACTGTAAAAATATCTGTAACTTCATTTTTCTGAAAAACGTCACATAACACTTTAGATTCAATTGATTCAAATAATCATATATATCATAGTTCACACAGTGATCTTCCATAGAAAATAATCTGTGAAATTGATATCTCCAATTAAGATTTGAAAGTATTTTGTAATTCAATGGATTATCAATTTCGTTGGATAAAAATGATGAGATCTGAAATATTTATTAGATGAATTAGTATTTAAATAAGAAATTCTATATAATAATAGACCTGGTGATATCCTTTTGAATCGGCCACTTTTTCAGCAGTACGATTCTCATTATTCATAATTGCGGTATCAGCTTTATTGTCCACAAGTAATTTTACTACTTCAATTTTTTCGCTTAGGACAGCATGAAATAAAGCCTGAAAAAAGTATGAAACATAAAATTACTATTTTAGGTACTTATTTCATATTATTATTAGACATGATGAATCATTTCATTTATAATTATTACAAAACTTACAGTACAACCTCGTATATCTTCAGCATTAATATTTTTGGTATGTTTTATCAGTTGCTTTACAAGTTCTATTTTTCCTTTTTTACATGCGTACATTAAAGCTGTCATTCTATTAAAATATCATAGTTTATTATTTTTATATATTTGATATTATTATAATTATTATTAAAAATTTTAGCGTAGTCTATTTACTTTCGGTTATCAGTTGCATCTACATTTGATACTTCAATTAACAGAGATGAACAATTTGAATAATCTCTCATTTTTGCACTTTCACATAATGCCATTAATGGTGTATATCCATCTGAATTGTATTATAAGAATTAAATTATAGTAAAAACGTAATCAAAAAGAAAAAATCATTTAATTAAAAAATTATTAAAAAAAGAAAAAACCATAATTATGTATAGTAGCATCAGCTCCACGATCCAAAAGGTATTTAATAAGTTCTTCTTCATAATATGATGCAGCAATTAAAAGTAGAGTGCAACCTTCTTTTAAAATAGTATTGATATCATGATCTACATATATTTAAACAGATAAAATGATTCATTAAAATAAAATTAAAAAAAGTAAAAAGTGGAGAATTCTGTAGGATTTAATTTGTAACATAGAATTATTTCATTTAATATAGTCATTTAATATAGTTATTACCCTTAAGATATTCTTCAATTGTATCAATATCTCCTCTTCGACATACAGATTCTAAATCTATTTTTTTCTTTTTTTTTTCTCTGTACACATCGTTCTTATCAGGATCAGATGACTCTGAATCCTACACATAAGAACATTTACAATGTAATCATTTATAACAATAATGAATAATGGCTAAAACAATTGTTTATTATATTTGTTTTAGTTATATATATAAATATTATAATATTAAAATTTTATATATTTTGCAATTGTAATAATATAAATATATATATATATATATATATATATTTTTTGAAATTTAAATTAAAACAAATATTTGTCACCTCAAATGGATACATGTATGGCACAAACATTTCTTCGGTAGTAGTAAAAGCTTTTTTAGCTATACCAATATTCTTATTAAATATTCACTTGTTTTTAATTTTTTCTATGAGATCATATATTCAAAGTCAAGTAAAATAATATATATCGCACGATTCGATGAAACTCAAAACAATTTATATCTCTTCTCACCTACTACCTAGAAATAGCATATTTTTTGCCTGATAACGCCACCTATTTCTGGTCCTTTTGGTTTTGAAGTGACCCGGGAAATTTAAATGAATTTACACGTGTCCATTGTTATTTGATTATTTTTTTAATGCTCGTTATACATACCGAAAATCTTTTCTATTTATTTCTTCTGATAGAATACAACTGATATCATATGAAAGTTAAAAAAAATAAAATTTTTTATAATTATTCAACTATTGATTATTTAATTATAAATTTATTTTTGATATTGTTTTAATATTTTATATAAATAAAAAATCAATTTGAAAATCTACATTGATTTTAAATAATCTTAAAATAATAGTATTGAAATATTTTCATCAATTAATTTTAAATTATTAGTTTTTATTGAATGTTTTCGTTGATGTTCATTAATAACATTTATAATTTTGTTTCATGTTTTACTCTAACTTTAAAAAGTTGATTAGGTCGTAGAATACCATATAAATTATTATGATGAGAATTATTAGATATTGCAATATCAGTAGAAGCATCACAATTATTACTAGATAAATCTGTTCCTTCATTATTTTTTAGTGCATATTTTCGTTGCTGAGTTCTGTCGGAACTACAATTGTGACCTTCCTTCATAACAACTTGTAATTCAGAATCTGTTTCCTCCTCATTATCTGCACTATCTACATCTCCTGAAAACAATATGCAACATTGAATACTTCTCAGTTAAACAAATATATAAATATAGATGGTATATACATAAAGCTACTAACCATCAGAACTGTAAGTAGAAGGTAAATAAAATCTAGATGGTTGTACTTTATTAGTACCACCGCATCGATCTTTATCTCTAAGCATATTAGTAGAGTGATAATATTTAAATTCTCGAGGAAGTGTATAACTTCTAGGCAATGATACTTGACTACCTTCCATATCACTGATTTCACCTTCTTCACTTTCATCTTTGGAACTTTCTCCTTTTCCATTCCGGCTTTTATATAAATATTTTTAAATATTAATAATTGATATTAAAATTAATATAACAGAAATATGCAATCAGTCAAATTTTATTTAATATTTAAAAATATAATATTTAAAAATATTAAATACCTTTTAAAAATATTAATTACCTATGACTAAGATGACCAGGAGGTGTCCAATGAGCACAATGTATGGGAAGACATCTAGGTGCTAATAAAATTTCTGGTACATTTGTTTTCTCTCTTTGCGATACTTTCCATAAACTTGAGGAATGGGAATTAGAATGGTACGGTGATACTGGTGGTGGTGGTAATAAACAATGCATTTTAACTGGTGGCCACGATGTTAATGTGACACCTTCATCTCCATCAGACACTAATGAGGGTGATGTAAATAATATAGTGTTTGGAGAAGTATGCAACTTCTTGCTTGGTGGTGGTTGTTGATTTAATACTGATGGAGAAGATGAAAACGTAGATGGAGATGCTGATAGAGGAGGAAATAATTTTCCTTCTTTTATCTCTTCTTGTATAGCTTTAAGCTCGCGAAGTTGTTGCTGTTTTTTTTGCCTTAATTTTTCTCGTATTAAATTTACACTCGAAGAAGTACTTGTCTCTGCTTCGGTTGTATTTTTTTGTATATTTGAATCATCACTCTGTTTCGAAGTGATGCTTGAATTATTCTTTATTAAACATAGTAAAATATATTATTTTATATTACAATTTTACCTGCAACACATTGGAAAACGATGCAGCTTTTTTCCAAAACGGTATTATCTGTTGGTGTCCATTGTTTCCATTAATCCACTGTTTAGTATCTTCACCTGCGGTAATAGGAGTTACAGTAGATGTAGACTGATCTTGCGGAGGTGGTGGAGGTACAAATGTAGTAGGCTTTTTCTTTTTACGATTTGGATTTACTACTGCTGCATTAGCAAAACGACAATTAAATACACCAGGTATACCACTATTATTTAATTTTACTTTTCTTGTTGCTACATCTTTATCAATTTTTTTTTCCTTTATATAATCTATATTCCTTTCTTCTGAATTGTCCTACACAATTACAAGGTTAAAGAAGATAAAAATACATAAGTTTTATTGAATACTATTACATTATTAATAAGAATATTTTAATTTCTAATAAACCACAAACCTGGTTAGACATAATTGCAAGATTTGAAGTAGTCATTCTACCACCAACTTCATATGTTAATCTTCTTATATGAAAGAATCTGTAAATGTACATTAAGTGTTTTACAAAATTAAAAATAAACTGTTGATATTGTATTTTTTTATCACAATGATCACAATATGTGATATATATACATGAACTGCTTCAAGCAAAAACATAAACAAATTAGACTTATATACATAAGAAAAGAAATATATATATTTATTTCTATGAAACGTGTGAAGGTTATTTAAATGATTAATATATGTAAAACAAAAATTATTATATGTATGTGTAATGAATTATTATATGTATTATTATATATACATGCATTATGAATAAAATAATATGGATGAAATTGATAAAAAAATATAAGCCATTTGGGTAAGCAAGATCATAATTTTTTGATCTGATATACAGGTAGATTCAAACAAGTGCAGCAATTAATAATGTGATAAGGATTTTCTATAATTGTATACAGAGCATAAGTATCATAAATTTCTTCATAAAAAAAAAAAAAAATTTTTTATTATAGTATATAAATAAAAAACTAAAATAAATAAAAAACAAGGCGAAAATAAAACAGAGATAAAGCTAATGATAAACATAACAATAACAAAACAAAGAAGATACAAAATATTCAAGTTTATCAATTATGAAACATACATATAAATTGCAAGAATAGTTTTATCACAATTTATAAAATAATAAATACTTTGCTCAAATATTCAGTGTCCTTTGCACATTCAACTTGCACCCAACCAAACCAAGAAAGAGTTATATCTAGAAAAAAGTAAAGAGCACTTAAACTCTATAGAAATCATGGAACAAAAACAACTAGATCATGTATTATGTTTCATGATAGATGTATAGATAATAAAGATATATTTTATTTTATTGTTAGTTCTTTCATCTTATAAAAGTAAAATAAATCGTATAAAGGATAATAATAAATGCTTACCTATAATACAATGCCATAAAGAACATACCACAAAAAAATAATGCTACAAGTGTAAGTACTAAGTTTACTGGATTTGGTTGATGAAGATGAAGATCACTTCTATTTATACCTACAGCCCATACTCCAGTAAGTAAACTATTTTCCAATAACATTACGGTATAAAATATTACCTATGTAAACATTTTGTTTTTTTAAGATACATACTTTTTTATCTTACATAAAAAACATATTATAAAAATTGAATATGATAATATAATGGAATGCTTCCACTTACCATTTTTTGGCGATGATTGGTCTCATGTAGATTTACATATGCAAATATATAAACAAATGCCAACATAGAGGCCAAAATACTTTTTCTCATAAGTGGAAGACGCTCACCTACATGGAAGAGTCCATCAGGTGTGAGCAATAACCACGTTAACATAGAAAGCCAATGAAGTGCCATCACAATTAATAGCCACTGTCCACCATAAAGCGATGCATATACAACTAATGCTCCAACTCGTGCACTTACAGTTCCAAGACGCCAAAATAATTGAGCTAATACACCTAACCATGTAAGTACCAAACGTTCTAGATTACGAAGGCGTGCTGCACCTTTACTAAAACTAGCTACTGCCCAACAAACACTCCATAAGGATAGTCCAGCTGACACTGCTGTTAATTTTGTTAACTTTTCACTGTCTTTCACTTCACCACTTTTTATTTTTTCATTTTCTATACCTAAATTGTCATTAATTCCAATAGATAATAAATATAGTTGTAATAGTAACATGGGTGCAGCTTCGCAGAATGCATGTATAAGACGTAATACACACAACTCTCGCACCTACATAAATTTCAATGTTATGTAGATATAAAACAATTAAAGATTATTATATATTGTAATAATTTATAAATTATAATTGGAAACACTTGCCTCATGTTTAACATAAGCTAAATCAACTGGAATAAACAACTTAAAATATCTCCAGAGTACTCCAGCTTGTGTTGTATGAAGTAATAATACACAACCCAAAGTCCAATTACCAGTCTTTTTACACGGGTTTACATTACAATCCCTGTTCGTATCATCATTGTCTATTAATTTACCTCTTGCACCCCATAAATACCAACGTATGCTAACTATCTATAAACAAAATAATAAATATAATATGATAATATTACACAATATCTTGTTTTTATTATATCGCTTATTTAATCATATACCTGGCAGGCAAGCAAAGACGTCGTTATAAAAGTAATGCTTAAGGGAAAAACAGTAGGTTGTCCTACCGAATGATGAGCAAGTGCATAAACCATTGCAAAATCGAAAACAATGTCACAAAAATATGATGCAAGGGAAATTATATTAAACAGAACATCACATAATGGTAAAAATTCGTTTTGTTGTGGTTGCCTATGCTGGGCCATAATGGTTTTGTGACACCCATTTGGATAACTCCTTTATCTTTTCCCGTTT